TGGAGGCAATTTATTCAAGGTCAAGAAAAAGGAAATGGTATATATGAAGGTGAATGTATAAGTTGTCATAAAAAATGTAAAAAATGGGCATTTGCAAAACCTGGAATTTTATGTTCCCATTTAGCAAATGAATGCAATAAATGTGGTGAAGATGTTAAACAATATTACAATCGGATCATTACAAATAATATTCATGATAACTCTTTTGGTAATTCATATGAAATTCCTGATGATTGGGTGAGGTCTACATCAAATAATAGAAAAATTAGTAATAATGAACAATCTAAAGTTGATTCCTATTATGGTTCCACATCAATTGAACCTTCATGTCAAAAACAAATTGATATAGCTTTATCTGTTGCATTTATTTGTTGTGGGCTTCCATTTAATATTGTAGAGATTCCTTTTTTTGTTAACTTACTAAAAGCATTAAATCTGGTTATAATTCTCCTTCTCATGAAGTATTGTCAGGTAGATTTTTGGATAATCAAGTTGCATTTGTAAATCAAAAGATTGATAACATATTACAAAATACAACCAATATTACTCTTGGGACAGATGGATGGACAAATCCAAATGGCTCGAATTTATGGAATTTCATGGTAATGATACCTGAGAGAAAAGAATTTTTATATTGCATTTCTGATTTTCCTTCTACCTCTCATACTGGTGAATTTTTAGCAGAAGTTAATAAAATTATTGAATGTATTGGACCAAAAAAGGTTGCAGCAATTGTTAGTGATAATGGTGCCAACATAGAAGGATTGTGACTAGCAAGTATAAGCATATTATTAATGTGAGATGTATAGCTCACTGTATTAATCTGATATCAAAAGATGTTATTGCACATAAATTTGCAAAAATTTAATTTCTAAGGCAAACATTATAGTAAAATATTTTAAAAAATCCTCTTTGGCTAATAGTCTTCTAAAATCACAAATAGAAACATTATCAAAAGTTACATGAAACAAGATGGACGTCTGTTCATGAATGTTTAGATTCAATTATACAATTGAAAAAGATGTTTAGAAGAAATTCATGATGAACATTCTTCTTCAATTAGTAATAATTCAGTGATTAGTATTTTAAGAAGTAGAGCATTCTTTGAAGATGTTGGTTACTTGGCTAACACTTTATTACCAATCAAATTAGCTATTTTAGAAGTGGAGGGTAGAGGTACAAATCTTGCAGATTGTTACATTTAATTATTAAGAATTGCAGCAGTAATAAGAAATTTACCATCTAATGATTAGAAATCATTGTATTTCTGTTTTTAATAAAAGGTAAATTTTATAAATTTAGATTTAATTTTTTTATATATTCTCTAATCTTAAAAATTTTTTTTTATTAAAGGTATAAAGAATTTGATGATCCAATTTATTTGTTAGCCTTTTTTCTACATCCAGCATATAAAGGGAATGGCATTAAGTATGGACAATTTTATAATATTGTTAGTCATGCTGGTTCTATTTGGAAATCTTTAGGAAAAAAACTGTGAAAGTTGGGAATCTTTGTCAACTCAGCTACGTCTATATAAAGTTCAAAAAGATGATAATAGTGTTCCTAATGTTTATTCTGCACCATACACTCCCAATCAAGATACTGTTATGAGTTGGTGGAATATGTGTGAAGCAAATCCAAAGCATTTACAACAACTTGCACTAAGAATTTTTTCAATTACACCCAGCAGTGCTTCATGTGAGAGAATGTTCTCAACACTTGGCTGGCTGTATGGTAAGAAATGGCAAAATTTGTCAATCCACAAACTTGAAAGTTTATAGATATAATATATCAGAAGTTGCACAAACTACTAATCATTTGAAAAGAAGTAAGGTAGAAATGACACAAGATGAAATTCAAGATTTATTAAATAAATCTATGGAAGAAGAAGAAGAAGGGGGAAGAAGAAGAAGAGGATGATGATGAGAATGATGTAGTTGAGAATGAAATTAGTATCGCAACAGAAGAATCAAATATTCCAGATTGTGAATTAGATGTACAAGTTGTGATTGAATTTAATTCTTGTGTTTTTGAAATGTTTAACAAAAACAATATAATAGAAGAATTAGATGGTGGATTTTTTGATGAAGAGACTGGAGGTGATGATTATGATCCCATAGAAGTAGCTCATGAATCAATGGGTTTTGAAGATTATTACAATGTATAATAATATATATTTTTTATAATTTTTTAAATTTAAAAAGCTTATGATTTCATTTGTGTAAACTGCAAAAAATTTTGATTTGATTATAATTCTCAATTAATAACATATTTATTACAGAATTACAGATACATTTACATGTTACAGAATTGCAGAATTACATATTTTCTGACAACTGCATACTTGAAAAGTTGTCATAATACAGAATGGCCAAACTATTTACAGATGGCATTATTAGTTTGGAACCTCCAATATTTATAATTTAAGGACTTCTCATACATTCAGCAAAATATTTGTTTGGTTGTGAGGGAGCAATCTGTTCGTTCATATCCAATATTTCTTCAAATACTTTATGTTCATTTAACTCATCATTTCCTCTACCCAGGATGTGTAAATTATTTTTCACAAGCATCTATGTTGAAAAAGTTTAATTGATTAGAAAAGCTGAAATGAAATAATATGCATGATAAATATGAAAATAATTTTTAACCTTATGTTGGTATATTGCACCTAAAAACTTTAAGAAGGTTTTTATTCCATTTTTTGAAAATTTACCATCCAAATAATATATTTGTGGTAGGGTTTGTATTCACAGATACCATGAATACCGTTAAGGGGTTACACACTTAAAAACAGCAAAAAATCACTTGATTTTAATGGTGTGTGACCCTGTGAATACAAACTCTAATTTGTGGATCTTTTTTGAAAACAGTGATTGATCCACCAACACACCACATCCTTACAAATTGAACCCTTAATCCAAAATGCAATATCCCGAATACTTGAAGTTTATTGGCTTTTTTTTCATCAGAATTCACAGCCTTAATCAAATCTGATAACATATCATGCAATGTTTTAGGCATTGTAAAGTATTCGAGTAAATATTTATTATCTGAAACTCCTAAGTAAGGTTTCTTGCTGAAACCTCTTAATGACTGCCAAAACTCTGCTGAAACTCTGCTGATTGATTCCCAGAGGAGTTTTGGCAAGCAACCATACTCCTAAATATTCTTTTGCTGCTTCAATTGCTCCCATTCTGTGAAGGCTATGAATAATGTAAATTACTCCATCTATCTTTCAACCAATGAACTTCCTTTGATTTTTTGACCCATCCATGATTTTTCCTGTTGACACTAGCTAATGATGGTATATCAGTTCTATAGAGAACAACAAACAAAACTTTATTAAAAAATGAACAATAATAATAATCTATTGATTACATCAATAAAAATTAATCAAACCTTTTTATGTAATTCCCAACCACATGTCCCTCATGCAAAAATCAATGCAATCACCAAACAAAGCTACTGTGAACCAACTTTTAGGGTTTATATTCATGGATACCATGAATACTATTAAGGGGGTTACACACTAATAAATCAGCAAAAAATCCCTTAAAAACACTTGATTTTAATAGTGTGTAACCCTGTGTGACATCCTTACGGTATCTGTGAATACAAACCCTACCAACTTTCATATTGATCTTTGATTAAAGGAGAATTTATGTTTTCATACAAATTTACCAGTGTTCTAATTGTTATTTGTATCCATTCAAGATCATAATGTTTTTTTACATCATAATTAATACCACATTCAAGATAAGAATTCATAACTATATCATGTAGTTCTTTTAGTGAGTTCTTTGCATATTTTGACAGTTCCTTAGCAATTTCATCAGGAATTGTTGGTATTCCTATCCTATCTATAGATGCTGGTCGCAATTCTTGGTGATGGTTGCAACCATATTTGTGACATATAAAAATGGTTTGCAACACCTGGTTGCAACCACTTTGGTTTCCTTTTTTGGATTGCGACATGGAACACTAATCCTATCATTAGTTAACTCTCTCCATTCATCATCATTAAATAATGCTTTTACATCGGAATCATTATAATCTATGATATATGAACGTGCATGACTAATAATAACACATAGTAGTATTACCAATGATCAATAAAAGAATAATGGAAAGAAAATTAAGTTTCAAAAACTCATGTTTCATAACCCACCTCTTGTATATATTCAAACAAGACATCTTCCACAATCCTTCCCATGATCAAATGCATCTTTGATGCATCAGGGATGGAAGTGTGTGCTTTTAAAATAGACCTTTATCAAGTTTGGAGGGATCTTGTTCATTATCATTACCAGCATCTTTTATGACCGAAAAATTTCACCAGAATGGAATATTGATCATAAATAAATAAAATATTCTTGATAACAATAATTTTGTAACATTATTCCTTTTTTTGTTTTCTTTGTTTGCTGAGGATGATGAACTATGGTGCAGAACAGAGTTAATTAATCTATTTATTTATATGAAGTTAACCTAGTAATATTATTTATCAATTTGTGTTTTTTTTATTCTGAAATTGGATTGATGTGTAGAAAGATTTTGTTTTTTATAAATGTTTTTTTATGTAAAGGGAATGTATTTTCTTTGAAATTTTTATAATAATTATCTCTTATAAAAAAAAAACTTTTTCTCATATTTATAACTGGCTGTCAAGCAACGTAACACAGAGATCTTAGATGGATTTATACAGAACCCTGGAAATTTTTGACTGGGACCTTGAAAAACTCAATCACCTTATTACATTGAACAAACCTTTCATCCTGATTTTATGGGCAACTTATCAGCAATTCCTCTCTATTGCCAAAGAAAAACAAAAGTTGATGAATGTAATGCAAGAAGATTCAATATTGGTAAAGAAAACAGCTAGTGTGGTTGTCAGTGGGTTCTGTTTACCTTGGTTCAAACAATGATCTTGGGGATCACTACTCCTGGTCAGGGAGATTTAACAAAATAACCAGTCATTCGTTATATGATTTTCCACTTTTTAAATAACAAATATTAATGCTGTTGTTACATGTTCATTAAATATTAATTAATTAATTACAAATATTAATATAAACAAATGATGAATTAATGAGCAAATGAACAAATAATTTAATAATCTAATCTTCATCTTTGTCAATAATCTTCTTACAAAACAAAAAATTTTTTTCTCCTCATCCACCAATTAGAATCATTGGCCTGTTTTTTGTTCTAGCCAGTTCAAATGTGTCAGAATGCTGTTTTTTCTTATTTTTAACAGCCACTTTAACAATTTCCAATAGCTCTCGAAACATTTTGTCATAATAAATCCTGAAGGTTTACTTCTGTATTTCCAAACAAACAAACCTTCAAGTTGCCATCTGCAGTAATTCTTAATCGATTGCATGTTCCACAAAAATGATCTGACATGGAAGTAATAAATCCAAATTTTCCAGTAAATCCAGGTATACAATATACCTAACAATTGTCAAACAAAACAAAAGTAATCCATCAAGTTAATAATTGGCGGAATGGAATGAGCAAATGATGTGATATTTGGATTTAATATTATCCAATAACTCTTTATACAGTATAAATTTTTTCTCATTCCATCTGTTAGCTTTTAATTGGAATAAACAAAATAAAGAATTATCAATAATGTATCTTATATTTGAAAATAAGATTTACATATATATATATATTGCCTTACCATTAGATGGCATATATTCAATGAACCTTACATAAATAGGCTTGTTTTGTGTCAACTCTATAAAATCTAATACTTCATTTTCATTCATTCCTCTTATAACCACCGAATTGATTTTTAAAGGTTTAAGGCCCAATTCAATAGCTTGATCAATTGTTTCCGAAACTCTTTCAAGGCCTTTATTTTTCAAATTAAAAGTTTATTTTTTCCCCTAATCAATATATATAGATATAAGATTTGTTTACCTTTTCTATGCGTGATCAATTGAAATTTGAATGGATCTAAAGTATCTAAACTAAGATTCAACAGATTCAATCCAATCTCAACAAGTTCGGGCAATTTTCCGTTTCAATGCTATTCCATTAGAAGTCATGGCAATTGTCTGTAAATCGTGTGATTTTAACCTCCCCAATTCGCCTAATAGTATATATATATATATATATATATATACATATATGCACACATACATATATATGTGAGATATTTTTGTTTGTTTTTATGTTTAAATTTATATAAACATGTTCACATATAAGGCTAATCTGACCAAGATTCCCACGATGATATATACCTCTGTTACATTAAATCCTCCTCGTCCCCTTTTTGGGTATAAGATAACCACATTTCTACCCAATCAAAATAACCGGGTAAGTGCGGTCCTGTGTTATTATATATATATATATATATACTCAAAAAAAAACCACCCATTGTATTTTATATTTTTATATAATGTTATATAATAAATTAATATTGCCAGAAAGAGAGGAACTTGTATTTAAAATTAATAATGAAATGCGTAATAATGCTCTGGTTAATTCTGATAGAGAAAGTAGAAAAGATTATTTTTTTTCATTAGTCAAAAAAAGCAAGGAGCTTTTTGAAAATGAAAAAGAATTTTGTAAAGAAAAGTTTATTTATGAGTTGGAACTAAGAAATGCATTGTATAAAAAGGGAAAACCAGAAGAATGTAACAAGTGTAAGTTGACAAAATACTCTGATAGATTCTGTGAAAGTTGCATTAGCTTACAATTACAGAGTCTTTTCACAACTTGGACATCTGGGAATAACATAGTTGATGATTTTATTCAACAATGTCAAATGAAATCACCTTTGCCAACTTATATTTTGGAATGGATACCTTTTGAGCAATTTGAAAAAATAACAAAGTTAACTGAAGGTGGATTTAGTTCAATTTATACTGCTATATGGACAAGAGGAAGAATAATTGATTATAATGAAAATAAAGAAGAGTTTAATTACATAGGAAGGCAAAATGTAGCATTAAAAAATTTAAATAATTCAAGTAATCCAGGAAAAGGTTTTTTTGATGAGGTTGGTAGTTGTCATTTAAAACAAAAATAAATGATACTATATTATACATACTAATTGATTTTACTTTCAATTTCAGGCAATGAATTATTGTAAAGTCAAATCAGGGATGATTGTTCCTTGTTTTGGTATAACTAAATTTCCAGATAATGGGAATTATGCAATGGTTTTAAATTATCATCCAGAAGGAAATTTAAGGGATTATTTGAAAAAAAATCATTTAAATTTAACATTAAAAGACAGAATTACAATCTTTAGATATTTATGTAATGCATTAAATGATATACACAAAAAAGACTTGATCCATTGTGATTTACATAGTGGCAATGTGTTATTGCAAGGAGGTAATTGTTATATTACAGATTTAGGATTATGTGGATCAGTTGATGAAAAATCATCAGACAAAGTCTATGGAATTATATCATATGTTGCACCTGAGCTACTTCAAGGCAAAAAGAACACAAAAGAATCTGATATCTATAGTGTTGGGATGTTAATGTGGGAAATATTTGCAGGTCACCCACCATTTGATGACAGAGCTCATGATCATCATTTAATTTTTGATATATGTGCACAAGGTTTACGACCACCAATATTACCAGGAATGCCTGATGATTATGCACAAGTTATGCAGAAGTGTTGGGATGTGGATCCATCAAAAAGACCAACTATTCGAGGGATTTTTAGATTTGCTGCTAATAAATTGGAAGAAATTCTCAATAATAATGATGATGATAATAGTAGTAATATCAGTAGTAGTGTTTTACAGCAAGTACACAAATCACATCCTGATGCATATTATACAAGTAGAATATTAGATGAAGAGATTACTAAATCTAAAAGCTTGAAAAGTTATTATTATACAAATAATGATAATTCATCAAATGATTTTGGTTTCAACTCTCTTCTCTTAAATGCTGAAGGTGAATAAAAATTTCATTATTATTAATTAATTGGGAAATTACTATCCATTACTTATTACTAACAATATTTTTAATTTGTTAATAAACATTAGATTCTAATAATAATAGTAATTAATTTTATAAATTTACCGTATTATTATAATTATTTATTTTTTTATTTTATCTTTATTTTATTTCTTATAATAATATTTCTTATAATAAACTTTATATTTCTTATTAAATGATGGTGGTGATTATTAATCTATGATTCGTCAATTCTAGTTTAGAAAGAAATTTTAATTGTATGTTTTATCATTATGAATTAATTTATATATTTGGCATATGTTTAGATTAAAAACTTGACTTCCTGTACTTGCTTAGAGAAACAAATGATGATAGTGACACTTCATCAGAACTATCAGACGAACAAGAATCAAATTTTGACGTGATTGTTTGTCAAAAACAATCGTCTTTTTTCACCGGAGCGGGGAGGATAAATTTATTCCCATCTGATTACCATTTATTGTTGTTATTGTTGGTTTATAAATTGACACATGTTAACGATGTAATATATTTCATAAATAGCGCCAATGCTTGGTGCAGAATTACTTGATAATTAGACGAACTATTCATAATCCATTTGGTAATCTCTTGTTATGAAATATTTTTTAACTTTAATAAATATATATTTAAACCATCTAATATCAACCTTTACTTGCAGGAGATTTTTGCGTCCCTTCTAACCAAATTTCGCTTCGAAGCGACATCTTGGGACCGGTGTGTAAATTTTGGATATTCGAGTTACATTGTATGGTTGGTTGTTGTTTGAATGTTACAAATAAAAATTCTATAAAAAAAATTCAGGTCTTCGGCAAAGTTGAATTAATATCCTACTTGCATAACAATTATACTGATAAATAATTTAGGAAAAAAGTTTATGATTTTTTCAACCTAATATAAATAAATTAGTTAAAGAAAATGGCCTTTACAATCATACAAAAAAAAAATTTTTTTATAAAGTATGTTTTCTGTTCGTTTTTTTTATGTTAATAGAGCAAAAAAAAAAACTAATTGAATCACACAAATCAATTATTTTTGTTTTCTAATTCAACGCCCGAATTTACAAAAAAATCCCTTCCCAAAAATTATTGTGGTTTCGATGCTTAATGTATCAGATGTATTAAAATCTTCTATAACTTTATTAAATATAGAAAATTACACAAGTTTTTGATAATATAACTGATAAGAGGCAAATGATAAACGTATTAACCCTTTTATTGAAAAATCCGATTATAGTACGTTATTATTATCATTATATAATTAATCTTCGTCATCGTCGTCATCATCAACATATTTACCAGGAATATGCAAAGGTTAGATAAGTCGACAAAGCCGGTAAAAATTATAACGAACTTGGCATTACTTGCTTTCACTGTAGCCTGCTTCTATTATGGTCATTACAGAATATCACCCCATTACAGAAAATCCTATTTGTATGTCGGAACTCCACGAATGAGGACAAAACATGAAAGGAACCAACCACTCTAACAAAATCGAATTTGTGAAATCTGGACCGAGTTTTTGGTAAATGCAATTGTTAATTTATTAACTTGTTGATGTGGTTGGCTAGGCTATATGATATTTATTTTTTCCACATGATAATAAGCTTTTTTAAACTATTATCTTTTTTTTTTTTGAAAATTGAGGGGTTAATTTGCGGATACTAATAATAAATTCGGTGTGACATTTTCAATTAACGCGACTGTGTAGTAGAACATTTTTGGTTTAAGGACCACCCACTTTGTCCACTTTGTATAGTAAACTCCTTGAAAAACAGATAGTTTTCAATTTCTATTTTTAGAAAAGCCCCCATATGTGATATTTTTAATTTCAATAATTGTAGAAATTATAAAATATGTGTCATTAACATACTAAATATAAAGATTTATAATAAAAATCATGTCTACTACTTATTATTATAAATGTAAAAACTAAACCCTGCTACTACTACTACTACTACTACTACTACTACTGCTACTTATATAATATGTGTATTAGGTTGAGTACATTCACGAGTATAATGACCTCGTAGTCTACAATTGAAACAAACTGGTGTAGTAAAATCATCAACATATCGACCAGCATCTGCCAACCAATTGAAATTTTCGTCTTCACTTTTTGCACCAATACCAGCAGACTGTGGAAAGCGATGTGGTGAAATCATTATTAGAATTGCAATGTATTTTTTTTCTTTTTTACCTTGAAGATCAACTATATTTTTTGTTAAAAGTATTTCATTTGGTTCTATTGCTATGATCTTACTATTGCAGTTTTTTTGCCTTAATTTAACTTCAATGGATTGGTACGTTTCATGTGGTGCTGCTTTGGTGTATAATTTAAATGCATTTTTAACTGCATTAAGGTCATTGCAGGAATCTGCAATGATCAATTTATCCCAAGCAGATTTCGCTAAATCATTATATTCTGAGCATTTTTTACCTTTTCTCCTAGGTCTGCTATTAAATGTTCTTTTATTATTGTTGTTGTTTAAATAATTTTTTGTCTTCCACAAAACTTCACTTGGATGAATTATTTGAATTTCTTTATGTGATATATTATTCCTAGAGTGTTTATATAGTTTAGTGTTGGAACAGGCTGACAAATTATCATTAGTAACATTAGTTGATTGAACATCCAAATAATCTTTTTTAATTATTTTAGCTTTATCGTTTAAAAAATTAGAATCATCAAAACTTTCTACATCAAGTCCACTTGAATCAAATTTATTTTCGAATTTAGTGATCTTTTGATTATTCAAAGTTTGCACTCCATCAGCATTCTTCAAAGGTTCAAGGATCGAGTTTACATTAACATCAGTATTTGTGTTGGTTATACCACCATCATCCAAGTTGGTTTTGAACTCTTGAACAACTTCTTTTTGTAAAATAGTGGTATCTTCACAAGATAATGACAATCTTTCATGTTGAGGCATTGAATCGACAAAGTCGCCGGTTTGTACACTAACACTATGAAATATGCCAGTGTTTACACCAACATCACAGTATTTTCCTGTTTTCTTATTATTGATTAAAAGCAAAAAACCGGAAGCAAAGGGATTCACTACTATATGTTGAAAGAGAAATTTAATAATGTCAAATATTGTCATTTGTTTTATGTATATATGAATGAAATATATATATCAAAGACTTTTTTATTTAACAGCAGTATAAATTGGAGGAAAAATCTTTTGCCATTCCCTCCTCAATAATAATAATGTGTTTTGATTAAGGGTTACACTCATTTGTTGTGATTTGGAAAAAAACAAAAACCACATTTGGCTAGCAATCATGAGGATAACATGTTACAGCTTTAACTCCTGCTTTGCAGAAATGAATTAAAAGTCTAGCTTGATTATAGTTGCAAAGCAATTTAGTCAAGCTGAAGATTTGTTTCTTTCTTTTGAATTGTGGCAGGACCAATCCATCAGTTTCTTGGATATGCAAAAAAATTGCCTTATGTGCAAGAGGCATTGATGTCATAATTCCAATACATCTGGCATGTAGATATTGTCAAAATTAATTTGGCATTGACTCAATTCCCAAAATCTCAATTGTCAATTATGTCTGACTCAATTACTTGTATGTTTTTTATATGACTATTAATTGCTTCAAAAAGTCACCTGATTGAGTCAAATGATCAACCTATTTCTACCAGATATATAAGAACAAATTTGATCGGTATAGAACTCAGTTCCCAGCTGCATTCAACATCTTTTTTTCACTAAGAAGCTGTTTGACAGGACCTTGTGGGTGAACTTGAAAACTAACCATCTTTAAAACCAATATTTATTTTATCATCATTACATATAGATTATGTTTTGGTATTAGTAGTATTTGTGTTCAAAAATTTGTAACACCAAGAAATATACTATTGGCGATTAATTACGTGAAAAAAAATTTTTAAAAGTTAAAATATAAATACAAATGGGATCAAGAAGTTCCAAACAAATTCAAAGAAAATTACCAGAAGTAATAACAAAAGTGAAACCAAATACAATTAATCCTCGCCTATTACAGCAACAACAGAATAATTTAAATGTTAATGATGTAAGAGCCAAAGATCAAGGTATCGTTTCAAAAAAAATATATTTACATATTTGTTATTGTTGGCACATTGATATTCTTATTTATTTATTTTAATGATAGCAATTGGAAATGATAACGAAAATCAACAGTTATTAAAAAATTTATATGTAATTGGAGAAGTAAAGATACCACAAAACAAAATTCCATTCAACAAGGTAAAGAAAGTTTATTATACTCTACTAGAACCATTATTTTTTTTAATAAATTACTTATAAATCTTGTATGAATGAAAAAAGTCAAATGAAATGTTGAAGATTTTAAAATCAAGAAAAGGAATAATAGAAGAAGAGAATAAAAGTAGAGAAACTGGAGGAAAATTAAAAAATAGAATCACAGTTTATGATTTAAGAGAATTATTTGAATTGAGAAATTTAAATTCAAATCAATGGACACCAGAGAAATTATCTGAAAAATATGACTTAGATGTTTCAACTGTTGATATTTTATTAAAACATTTAAATAATTATTCAACTTATGGTGGAGTTGATACAACTGTTACTTGGCCAAAGACAAGCGAATTCAAAATATCTTAATCTAAATTATTTATTTTCCATCGATTATATATATTTATATAAAATAAATAAATATTACATGCACAAAAGATATTTATATATATATTTATTTATATTACATTTTACTTTTTTTATCTTCTTTTAATTGAAATATTTAGTAATAAAAATTTTTATTTTTTAAATTTAAAAAATGATTTAATCCTCGAAAGCAATCCAACGGGTTCTTGTTCTTCTTTTAGTTTTTCCGTTGTCTCACTTGCAATCTTTTCGGGTTGTTTAGGTGCTTGGTATTTCTGTTTAGGCGCGCTTTCTTTTGTTGAAATAGCACTCTCTTGTTTAAGTTTCTTTGTGGTTTTTTGTTTTGTTGCTGATATGCTGGATTTCGTAGGTGTAGGCGTAGGTGTAGGAGAAGTAACCTTTGAATTTTCATTTGGTTGAGAAGTAGGAGGTTGAGGTGGATGTATTGGTATTGGTGGCGATGGTGTTGGTGATAATGTAGTTGGTGAAGATTGTATTTTTGTAGTAACTGATTTTGGAGATTCATAAATATTTTCACTATTGTCAAGTGGTGTTTTGTATGTCGGTTTTTCCATTCCTTGAGGAACAAACGTCATATATTTTTGAACAGTTTCTGTGTTAAGTTCAATTCCCGCGCTTTTAAGTTCTTTATTTAAATTGATAAGTTTTTGTTTTACTTGACCATCGGTGGCCAGTTTAGCCATTTGTAACATGGAAGGCATTTGACGTTTTCCAAGGTCAATACCCTTACTTTTTAAAATTTCAGAGAATTCTTGAATGGAGGCCATTAACTTTGGATCTTGACTAATTCTTGTTACAATTGGATCATCAGGATCAACTTTAAAGTTGTTGATATTGTTATTGTTATTGTTTTCTAGACCAATTGTATTAGATGTAGTTGTAGTTGTTAAATCTCTATTGAAATTATATAATAAACCTCGTTTTGGATAAAATGTTGATAATGAGGTACTATAAGTGATATTTGGTATGGTATATTTCAAGGTAACTCGAATATTATAAAGGAAATATGGATTTGCTAATAATACTGGTCCAAATGCAGCAAAACGTCTAAAGCCCATGTTTAAAATAATTGTATATATATTTTATAATCTGTAAAGATTGAAAAAAATAGTTTTTTCTTGTGAGAATCGTGTCACACAGAATATCTTTTCCAAAAAATTGTCATCTGATGTCACATTTATGAAATTTCCACTTAATCGTTGACACAAAACCAATTTGAGAAAAAAATTTCAAATCAAATTTTTGCGGTCACGCGCCTTTAAAGGTGAGATGTCGATCATTCCTGCATATATACGTAATCGATTTTATTATGGTGCAGTGCAGGTCATCTAAAGACATCAAAAAAATACCTCTCATATTAAAATATGAGCCACAGTGGAAAACATAAGTAAGTATTGATACTCATCTATGTCATTTTATCAAACATATCCCATATAATAAAGGCTTTGCAGATTGGTACAACTTATATAGAAATAGAAAATATCAAGAATGCAATATAGACTGGAGTAATACTTTTTTTTCATTGAATTTTTTAGTTTTTTTTCCTTAGGTAATATTCCTTATGAAAGAAGGAATAAAGTTGATGCAAAAGTCATAGTAGGATATTTGCCAATTATTAGTTTGAAAGACAAAAATTCATCAACAAATAGGTTATTAAAACTCAAAAGTTTTCAAAATTCAATGAAAATAATCACAGCCCCATTATTTGAACAATTTGAATTAGGGACATATATTAAAAATTTTAGATAATACAATCTTATGTACAATGAAAATTTCTATGATTATAGCAGATTGGCTTGAAGCATCAAGTTTTTGTCTCACATATAGTTCAAGCAATGGTGAGCATCCTTGCCATAGTTGCATAACACCAAAAACCAAATTTAATATTATTGATATACTATCATCTGAAATAATTATATGTACGAAAGATGAAACATTACAAATGATTGAAAATGGTTTGAGAAGAAATATTCCATACATAATCTTTGGAATATTTTTTGGAATCATTCGTATATATAAAGAAATTTTTATTTGTTTAATAAAAAAAAATAAAAAAATAATGTGAAATTTCAAAAAAATCTTAACATATACACTGCAGTTCAAGTTTTTATAAATTTCAGATGGTGCTTGTTGTGATGAAATGGTTATTTGAAATACTTTGAGGAATAGAATCAACTGGTAAAATAGAAATTGAAGCCTTGGAACTTTTTGGGAAAGGAGCAAACTTGCATTAGTGAAAATAGGTTGAAATGCTTGTTTGGGTCCTTTTTGCTTTTTATTGGTGTGAATTTGACACATTTTTATTAGATAAAGAAAGATTGCAAAAGGTAAATTGTGATTTTTTATCATAAGAAAAAAAAACTTTTATGTAAAATAAACTTTTTCATAGCAAAATAACTTTTTTTCATCACAGGCATTAGTCTCCATGAGATAAACCTGAAATATCATTATTATTATTTTCACAGATTCCCATGAAATAACTACTATTACATGTTAATATTAATAATAATTCCGCAGTAATTACTGAATAGGAATTACTGTGCCAACTATATTTGCAGCAGTCATAACTATTTTATAATGATAGCTACATATGATAGTTACCATTTTCACAAATAACTAATTATGACTGGTGTCTTTACATTTTTCATAAATATTAATGTTTTATCAGTCATGAGTACTAGAATAAAACATTGACAATAAAAAATCAGTACAGGAATCACTACCCATTATATCAGCAATACTAATAATAGCGAATGTTAGTAGTACAATGGTGATGTTAAACAACTCTGAACTCTGAAATCCTTGGTAGTACAAATGACCACTTTGTTGGGTTCTGTTGCAGCATGCCCAATTTTATACTTCTACATCTTTATGCCTACTTGAAAATGCGCCTTGATTGGTTTTAGTCATTTGTTATATTCAAAAGCTTATAACTTATACATAATCTGTTAAATTAGTTATATAAATGAAATAATTTGCTTTAATTCTTGCTTTACTGATTTCAAAACTGATCCATGTTATGACCTTATCTGTCACAACCTGTAATTTGTTAATGTTACAGTTAGCTTATAGGATTTGATGTACAATCTGTTAATAAAATAAACAAAATTAGCATCTTTTATTTATCACAATCTTTAAGATATGACTAATCCAGGTCGTACTAATTTTAAGCTGATTCTCAAAATGAATTTGATCTGCAATGCATATCAAATTCAAAAAAAAAAAATGCCAATTCAAAATATTAAATCAAATGCATTAATTTGCATAGGATTAATTATAGGCATTGTCGTAACAATTTCAAGAAAATCAATAAAAAATTGGTATAGTAATAATAACAATAACGAAAAGGGATTTATAAAAAAAAAGAATCAAACTGACAAAAATATACTGCGGCAGCATATTAGCAAAGAAAATGAAGAAGAAATAGTGGAAGGTTTAGAAGGTTTAATTGGTAATACACCTTTGATGAAAATTAAAAGTCTGAGTAAAGCTACTGGTTGTGAAATCTTGGTAATTATGCATGATCTTTTATTATTATTGTTTAATTCAAATAAATAATAAATATTTGTATTGTATTTGTTAAGGGAAAAGCTGAGGTATATTATCATCAACTTTAAATTTTTTCAAATAAAAATCAGTCTAAAAAGAATTCTTCAATTGATACACATACATTAAATAATTGTATATATGATAAAGTTTCTTAATCCAGGAGGCAGCCCAAAAGATCGGGTAGCATTAAATATGATTAAAATCGCAGAAGAAAAAGGATTAATTAAACCAAATACAGGATGTACAATATTTGAAGGAACATCAGGTTCAACAGGAATATCTATTGCAATGATTTCACGTGCAAAAGGATATAATGCATGGATTATTGTTCCAGATGATCAAGCTGAAGAAAAATACCAATTATTAGAAAAGTTGGGTGCAACTGTTGAAAAAGTTAGACCTGTTAGTATTGTTGATAAAAACCATTTTGTTAATTTGGCAAAAAGTCGAGCCCAGGAATTTGGAAAATCAAATCATAATGATGCTAATGATAACAATGAAGATAATCCAACTGGGTATTTTGCTGATCAATTTGAGAATCTGGCTAATTTTCAAGCTCATTATGAAACCACAGGACCTGAATTATATAGACAAACAAATGGAAATATTGATGCAATTGTTGCTGGTGCTGGTAAATGACAGATTGTTTTATTGTTTTAAAATATCTATTTTTTTTCATTAAAATAACTTTTTAAAAAATATATTTTAAAGGTACTGGAGGAACAATTGCAGGAATTTCAAGTTATCTTAAACAATTAATACCCAATTTAAAAGTTCTTCTTGTTGATCCACCAGGTTCAGGATTATATCATAAGGTTAAACATAATGTAATGTATTCATCTTATGAAGCAGAGGGTACACGTCGTAGACATCAGGTTGATACAATAGTTGAAGGTGTTGGATTAAATCGTATGACTCAAAATTTTAATATGGCACATGGTTTGATAGATGATGCTATTCAAGTTACTGATGAAGAAGCTGTATTGATGGCAAGGTACTTGGTTAAAGAAGAAGGTTGGCATTAAAACAAAGTAATAATAATAATAATAATAATGACAGCAAGCAGCAACAATGGCAACAACAACAATATATGTATTTTTTCTTTTTTTGAATTTATAGGTTTATTTGTTGGAAGTTCATCAGCAATCAATTGTGTTGGATGTGTACGTGTAGCTAGAAAACTAGGTCCAGGGCATAGAATTGTAACAATTTTATGTGATTCAGGTCAACGGGTAAATATTAATTATCTTTTTTTTCTTATGTTTTTATATTTATATTTTTTAAATTTGAGAAAATTAACTTGATGTTTTATGAATATTCATGAATAAAGCATTTAACTAAATTTTGGTAAGTAAAATATATTTTTAATTTAAATTTTGAAAAATAAAATTATTATTAATAGATTTTGTGTGCATTATTAGGAATGATGATTATTTAAAAGAAAATAATATTAGCCCTATAGAAAGTGATGGACTGGATTTTATTAAATAGGATTATTATTATTATTATTATAGTGGCTTAATTAATAGGAATAATTTTCAAGATTATTATTTTGCAATATTTGATTGGGAATTTATATTCAAATTAGTTATTTTTTAGGAATTAAAAATAATAATTTGTTTTAAAAAAAAGTCATAATAATCAAGCTATTATTATTATTTATTGAATTTGAATTCTACTGCAACCTTTGCTTTTCCACGTGGAATCTTTTTTGAAATGAGAAAAAGAATCACAAAAGCATCATCATAAGCATCAGTGGCGGGTCTAATATTAATATATTTATCTAAACAAAAAAAAAATTGCCAAAAAAAATTTTGTTTGATTAGCTAATATTACTTCCACACAGCGTCACCTTCATGTTTCACCATAACTCAAGAAGATACATTATAGATGCTGGTCGCAATTCTTGGTGATGGTTGCAACCATATTTGCGACATATAAAAATGGTTTGCGACATGGAACACTAAGATACATGATGAAAAATTCTATTTTTGATGGGTAATCTACGATTAAATCACCTCTGTTATCTCCCACAACCACCTTTATCACAATTATTTCAAAACATGATTATAAAATTAATCAGAGAATAGTGGATCGTTGAGAAATGATGTTAATGCCATTTCATTATTTTACTATTATCATTATTTTCTTCAATAAATAATAGTTTTGAAAAATAACTTTTTATATATGGGCACATTGCAACAAAACCAGATCAAAGTTCACAAAGAAGTTTCAGGGTTCAAAGTGATTGGAATTTGCTAATACTGAACATCATATTTGTACCACTTAATAATGTACGCTTTTTTAGTATTGCTAACTAAAGTTAAAATATATGAAATTAATTTACATAGGATAGGATCCACTATGGAACTTGAGAATTATAGCACTATTAGAAGTGTTTTAAAAAAGGACAAGTTGAGAAAATAGCTTCTTATGTCAAAATAAACATTACCCAAACACTTGAAATAATAAACACTAGTAAAAGAAGTAGAATGAAAGTGAGCAATTATTTAATAAAAACAGATTTTTGGAAAAAATAATATGGAATAGAATTTTTTAATTATATAATTGGAAAAGGTAAAATAAGCAAATTATCTACCTTTTCTTTATCAATATAAATGACAATAGCTATAACATTAAATACCAAATTTATGCCTGCTAATCATAATCATATAGACTTATCATCAACTTTTTTTTTCTTTATTTGAATATGTTTGTTTTGAGGTATGGTTGTTATATCTGCTACTTTGGCAAAATCTTCACCTTTACGATAACTGACACTGATTTCTAGGTAATCAATAATTTTGCCCTGTAGATATATCTATTGCAGGCAAAATCTGGGAATGCATAGACTTTTTTAGGGAATCATGAAAGGATGATCATCAATAAATACATTGAATCAGAGCAATTTTTAATTCAATCGTGATAGCAGAATAAATAGTTTCTATCTGGTTGTAAAAGAGCAATGGTTTTATTAAACTTCTTAACTTTTCCTACTAGATGGCCAGTAGGATGATTGGTTTTTTTAATACTTGGTTCTATATCAGCATACATTTTTTACATCATAAAAATCTTTCAATAAAATAAAAAGGGATCTCTAAATAATACTCAAGTTATATATTGGAATAACTTTCCTTTCACTAGTGGTAATTCATCTGTTTAGCAGTTTATTATCAATACAAGATATAAATAAAAAGAGAATATAATAATAAAATTAATAATCTAACATTGTATTTACTTTTTATCAATTATTTGAAAAACTTCTAATTCATCAAATTTATTATCTACTATATTGATGTTATTATAACCACCTGGTTTACAAATCCTACCATTGTTATGTAAAAACTTACAAAGATCACTACCAAAATCAGGTAAAACATTGGGGTTACAATAAACTGCTTTCTCACAATAATCATCAATAACATAACTAAATTGTGCAGTATTAACATCATTTCTATTACTAATATTAAATATAAAACTTTCTGTTGTATTCTTATATCCATTTCCATTCCAATCAAGTGGATTATAGCCACCAACTATTTGCTCTGAATTTTGTATTTTACCAACCACAAGAGTTTTGTTGATATCATCACATTTTTGATGAAATGCAGCAGCATTTAAACCATCTCTACTACTTTGATATAAAAGTTTGAATTCATATTTAACTTCCTTGAATAAACTATATGGTGGACTTTTTCTATCAATCCAACTTGCAAAAAGCAAAGTAAGGTTTTGATTGATTGTCAATGATTCAAGTTTTGAAATTCTTGATGGTAATAAATTTAATGTTTTTTGTCTATCAGGAACTACATAACATTGTAAAAGGGGTCTCCATAAAGTCTTAGGAAAAAGCATTTGATATGGTTCAATTTTATCAAAAAAATCTTCTTTTGAAATATCCTGAAATCTTATTAGAGAAAGAAATTCTTTTAATGTGTTGCCTAAATCAACAAAATTTTGCAATGACCAATCCTCAAGATTGATATTATTGATTTCTGGATGTTTTGCTAATCCCCATTTAAGAATGTTTTCCCAAATAACTATCTCATTAACAGAAAAATCGACTCTTTTAAGAATTTCCAATAGAGTTGGTTTTTTCAACAATTCAAATTCACTTGACTCAAACAATTCTTTGCTATATTCACAAAATTTTTCTAAATAGATATTTTTCAATTCTGTAAAATTTTCATTAGCATAAATCAATTGCAGAATTTTAACTGAATTTTCTTTTATATAATCTTCATGATTTTTAATAAAGTATTTTATCACACATTCATAAAGTGACTCAATACCGAGTTGATCTGCTGCAGTTAATAATTCCATTATTTCTGCCCCAGAATAATTTTTGAATTCAATTTTACAAGTGTACAAAAATCTATCAACAATAAATAAATTATTAAACAGATTATTCATTATATTATATATTCAATACTAATGAATTTATTTAAACTTACTTGAGAATAGGTTTGAAACATTTTTCACTAATGTTAGCTTTCTTAATAATATAATATCCATTTTCTTTTGTTGCATTACTTAATTCATTGTTGAAAAATGGACAATGAGCAGCTATGATAGATGCATGCGCATGAACTTCTTTAATGTTTGGTTTTACACCAACACATATTTTTACATCATAAAAATCTTCGGTATTTAATAATCTTTCATTTTCATTGAAATATTTTTCAAATATTGAATTCATTTTATTAAATGGGGCAAACCAAACAAAGTGAACATTGGTATTACCAATAATTTCAGGGATCAAAATTTAATCATTTGTTAAGTGATACACAGTGAATCTCGATTTAACGGATAGTTTGGGCAATTAGGGAAAATTTTCCAAAAATCCGTTAAACCGAGATATCCGCTATATCGAGAAGGTTTTTATTAAGGTTTATTATGAAACCGTTCTTTGAACTTTATCCGTAAAACCGAGATTTTTAATTAGTATCCGCTAAATCGAGGTCCGTTAAATCGAGATTCACTGTGTAATTACTATAAAGTTTATTTTCTTATGTTCAATCAAACAAAGTTTGAACCTTGGAAACCTCCTTAGTCAAACATTAACGTGATATTTTCAATATAGATTTTTATCAAGTATTTTTCACAAGGTCGAATTTTTTAAAAATCCCATTTGAAGAAATATGAAAATATCTTATCAGAGAATGATATCTTCTAATGAACTTTTCAAATTAAAAAAAACCGAATCATCAGAATGTTTAGCAAATTCTCATTTATAAAGCGGAATTATCACTAATATATTTGTGTAAGAATCGATTTTCAATAATGGCAAACATCAGAAAATCATTTAATTATTTTATCATATTAATATTCGAAAGAACTCCTTTATAAACCAGATTCCGATCCTGATATTTAAAATGGGTACTACGCCACTTACACGCATTATCTATTATACATGTTTATTTTTTTATATGACAAAGCGAGTTATTTTGAGAGATATTTGCCTACCACCACCAATTTTCAATTATCCGTATTAGATAATTGATTGTGGTCTAAGTTCAAGAAATAAGAGGATGCCGATGAAGAAGAGGAAGTTGTAAATTGTACAAGATTCCTCCCACATTTCATTCATGCCATTAAATATGATTTTTATCAAATATTGATGAAAGTTCGTCCGTCAATTAGAAAACTATATGCCATTTCCATACTAAAGAATTTTTTCACAAATTTATGAGTTGCATTGCGATGACACAGCATCGCCACATTTATATTATCAATTAGCATTAATGTATTCAAGTAAACTTTTCATTAATAAAGATGATGAATATAACGAAAATGCTAGTCTAAAGCCTAATAATAATATTTTCCTTTTGGAAATTGTAGAGCTTACTGGTCGATTCGAATCGGTAATTTGGGGTAGAATAATTCGAATTGTTCGAACCATTTGAATATTCGAATATTTGGTTTTTCAGCGAATTTAATTGAAAAAATTTTCCATGGATGATTTAAACAACAATGATTTTTACAACGACGGTTCTTATTCTGCCCTTTCACTTCCCAGACCTTCTATGCGATTGGATTCAGATTCAACTATCACATCTGAAACTATAATGGCAGTACAGCAATTTTCTCCTGTTTTAATTAGTTCTAACTAGCCACAAAAAAAAGGTGCAAAGAAAACTCACAATGAATTTTCTAAGTGTAAATTTTGATCCAATAATCGAAAAGAGAAAATGTTTAATCTACATGTAACCTTTCGCATAATAATTTTCAAGTTAATTTTTATTATGAATTTAAATAAAAAAATGCTTTGAAATTTTAAATTTAAATTTATATAATTGGTTCGAATCAAAAAAATTTTCGACTATAATTCGAATCGGTTCGAACCAGTTTATGCGTAAGTTCTAGAAAATTGTGCTGGTGGTAATGATATCTATACAAAAGTATTTAGAATGTGTAGTATATGGATCCGATTATGATATTAGTTTGGATGAAGAGGATCATGAAACACACGAAGAAATTGGTAAAGCACTAGTTAAAGTTTCAAGTTCAATAAAATATTTTATTCTTAACGGACAATCATTACGCTCGTCACCAGGAACAATTGAAGTTTGGTAGCATTAGAAATTTCGGTGGATGATGATATAGATGATCTTTTCAAAAATATGACTACATCAGCTACTTTCAAAGGACTTGGAAGTGAATTACCTTCTTTGAGGGTTCTTAGTAAATTTTTGCACGAAAATTGAAATTCTTGATTTATATGGATTCTGGCCAAATGGTCGGAAAAATTGGCACAGTTTAATAGTTTCAAAATTTGTAACTTAAATTCTTGATACTGATCATGAAGTTATAAAACAAATATTGATATCATGCAAACGACTTGAAGGATTAAATTTGATTAGTCATGAGAAGAAGGTTGTGTCCATTCAATAGATAGGATATATCCAGGACTCCTTTGGAAAACCATTTGTCCAAGAAGTTCAACCATAATTCTTAATCAGTAAGTTAGAAAATTAATCATTGATGTTGATTAAATTAAATTATAGAATAAATAATAACAATAAAAATATAAATAAATCATATGAGAAAGTCTGATTTTTACATAACATATTATTCTGATTTCATGGATGCATGGTTTTTTAAAAAAGAATATATTTGTATACTATGAGACAAGACGAATTTAATTTCAATAATATTCAAATCGATCAAGAACTTTTGGATGTCATAGAAGGCTATAAAAATATCGACACCTTACAGATTGAATCTTACCAACATTGGAAACTAATTCAATTACATATAGGGAGATATATCGATTAAAGATTACATATAGTAATAAATTATTGTATAAATTTACTATTATTAAATAGCTTTATTTTCTTATTTTAAAAATTTCCAAGCCAATTCCAACAATAGAAATAAAATTTTCACTCTCATTATAATTTAATACATCCATTGATGATGAATCGCAAACATTTACAAATTCAGTATTAATTAATTTAAATGATGGTCCTTGTTGTTCTTTATGTTTTCCTTTCTGTTGTTGTTGGTGTTGATGTTGATTTGAATGACAAATTTCCCATATACTTACCCTTTGATCCAAAGAAGTGCTAAGGATTTTTGTATTGCTCATAATGTAAATACCTGAGAAATGTTATTTATTCGTAATTATTAAATAGTTTAGGACTTCACGTATATATATAAATGCATATATATGTTAAATTTACCTTGAATGGATGATGCATGTGCTTTGTCAAATTTCAGACTTTTAAATTTATCAAAATCTTCATCTTCATCATCTACCTCTTTGATCATCAATTTATTATCTTCATTTTTAATCAAACAGAAATCAACGTACTTAACCATAATAGAATTATCATCACCACCACTAACTATCATATATCGAATAATTTGGTCATTTTTTAGAGATGAAGATGAAGATGATAATTGATGAAAATCAAAACAATTCACTCCAGATTGATGAGCCTGGTAATAATAATTAGGTTTACCCAAATCTTCAATATTTTGAAAATCGTTATCTTTTGAATATTTTGTTGTAGGGTTTGATTTTGTGGTTTTAGTAAAAGTTGTTTTACTATTATTCTTACTGATATAAGAATCTATAAAACTGAAAAAATAAAACAAATGTATATATAAATAAATTTTTAAATAAATTAAATTAAATTTTTACTAACCTGTAAATCTTTTTGGAAAATTCCCAAATAGCAATCCTTTTTTGCAAAAAAAAAAAAATTGTGATATATATTTCATAGTAATAATAATAATAATAATAATTTTTAAATAACAAACTTACCTTCCATCAGTTGCTGAAGTAATCACGATAATCAAATCATTACTGCCTTCTTCATCTAATTAAAAAATAACTAAATCAATAAAACTTTGATTATACTCCCAAAAATTTTTTATAATATTTTACCTTTAATAATTAAGTGTTTAACTTGTAATACACATTTAAAGTGAAAGTTTGCTTCACCAATTAGAGTGAATTTCTTTTTAACTTCATCAAATAACCAGGACTAAATAATAAAATCATATAAATAAATAAATTTATAATCAACCAAAAAATTTATATTGTTAACTTACTCTTAATACAGAATCTGAATATACAACTATTATCAAATGTAAACCTTGGTTTGGAGCGATTGAATAAACAGTTGTATCCATTATTCTTGTCTCTGGAATTTGACTTATAAAGACAAGTATACAAATTGAAATTACCATCATTATTATAGAGACATTATTAAAGATTTTATTTCAAGTATTTGTTTAAGTTAAAAAATAAAAATCAATAAAACCAACTGGTTAATATATTACCTAACACTAGGGCAACTTGACCATTCTAAGCAATTAATATTTACCAAGGGCATTTTACCTTTTATTTTCATAATAGCAATAGAAAAAAATAAATATAATTTTTTATTAGTTTAATTTTATTTTTAGTTTATTATTAAAATCACCTACATTGATTATTTGTCAATTGGACTTTAGCAAGACTTATTTCCACTTTCCAACATCTCAATTCTTCATTTGCACCACTAGAAAATAATAAAATTTCGTTACCTAGATTTTAGTCGAGAAAGTTTTATTAGAATTTCAATAGGATAAGTTTCCAAATTCTTTAAAATAACGTGTGTTTTTATTGTTACCGTATGACCATTCTAAACTTCGAATAACTGATTTATGTTTCTTAATGCTGCATAAACATATTAATCTATTATCCTTTTCATTTGGAATGTCTAAATTTATCAAAAATATTCATTTATGTAGTGTAAACGCATGATATATTTATATATACTATTTAATCTTACATTGATATAAACGTAATAAACTGTCTTCTGCTCCTGTAGCAAAAATTATAGGATCATTATAAATTTCCTGGTTTTTTATAAAATTCGTTTTAATAGGAGATGCTAAAAATCAATTCATTAATTCATTGAATTAATTGATATTATTTTTTTGTCAACAAATTAATTAGACTCAAAGTAAATTGACAAAATTCTCACGTAAAAATTTGACAATTCTACATTCTCTACCATGGAAATCTTCTTGTAATTTACACTCATTAAATCCTTCATTGGTTGTTAATCTTTCTCTTGAATAGATAAAAACCTTTGTTTAAATACATATAAATACATACATATGTGTTAATCAGTATATATATTAATATATATAACATGAAGAAAAAGTCTATAATATATGATTACATTTTCTTTTCTTATAAACATAAAACTTGCTTTATTCATTTTTTTGTCGTTAGCTTTGAAATGCCATATTCTATGGGCTCCTCCACACGCTACTGAAAATATCTTTATTTAAATCATTTTCGTAAGAAATTTGTCAATTTTGAAAAACAATTTTGCTTGAAATTATCAGAGAAAAGTTTACCTCAAATTTTTTAAATTCATTATAGACGAAGAATCTTTTACGGTAAAATCCTAATAAGAATAATTCATTATCTATAAATACAACCTTAAATTTTTTATGAAATTAAATTTATTGTTTAATATGTTATTTAAAATTTTTTTTAAAAAAACATAACGAAAAGAAAAAAAATTGTTTTTTTATCATTTACCTTTTCTAACCAACCTTTGGTGATTTTTGCCTTATATACCTGTTCTATAATCAATTTATTATCCTTTACTAATAATTCACCATTTCCGATTCTTTTTTTCTTTGGTATCCCATATTCGCTATTGTCTTTTCCATCAAGACTATTTATATTTTCAGATTTAATCCCAAACATATCCAAGCCCCTTAACCTATATTTATTATAAGAGCCATCTCTACCAGTTGTATAAACCATCAAGATTTTTTCAATATCATCTTTATCATTTTCAAAATAACCATAATCATCATCAAGATCAGTATCATTGCTCTGCTTTAACTTTTCCATCTTTATTGCGATTGATGTAACAGCTTGTTTTCCGTGGATTTTACGTAAATAAATTATAGGTGATAGTTCCATTGTTGTTGTAGTAGAAGTCATATTTTTTGCATCATCATCTTTTTTATCTTCTAAACGTTGTAGTGATGATGACTCAGAAGAAGTTAAATTATAAATTGCAAGACCGCTTTCTCTAGATCCACATATTAATAAATTGTAATGATAATATAGTGATAGTGATTTAAGTTGAAATCTTGGTGGAACAGATAGTCTATACATTATTTTAAATATTGGTTCCTTGGAAATTTAATATAAAATCAATCAATACATGCTGTATATATAAGTTTTAAAAACGAATTTGTAAATTCTATAAAAATAGAATAATTATTTACTTGATCATTGTTAGATTGATTTAAATCCAATTTTAATAAGATAATATCATTATGAACAGCATGTGAAATTATATAAAAGACATTGGAATCTATAAATTTGAATCAATTTATATGTAAAATAATCATTATCAAGAGAAAATTTTTTAAATAATAATGATTAATTAACCGATAATGATTAACTGACTGACCATTAGTATCTTCTAGAAATATTTCAAAAACTTTATACTCGTGTAATTTTCTTTTAATTGTCTTTTCAACATCATTATTTATTAATATATAAAAAAATTTTAAAAAAAAAGAATTAGATTAATGATAAAAAATTAAAGATAACCAAGTACTATTAATTACCTTAAATTCTTTATTAACACTAATTACAAATACTTGGCCATCAATACTGCCACAACAAAAAACTCTGCCACAATTTGAGGCTTTCATCATGGTATAATTTTGCAAGTCTTCAGAATGAAACAATGATGTCCACTCATTTAACTCATGATCATGCCTCAATAAATGTCTAAAATAAACGTACGAATTCATAAATATATTAAATATGATTTAAAATTATAAAATTATATTTTCATTGAATAGATTTACCCATGGTTAGTTGATATAACAATTGTATAATAGTTCACTAAAACAAAATTACGAAAGAATTCTCTTGATTGATGATGATTTCGATCTACATTTTCCTAACTTACAGGATTTATAGGAATGTAAATATTTAAAAAAACAATGGGCTGATTATAATAAAATAAATAACTTACATCACAAGTGGAATAAGTTTGTACATTTGGTAAAGAAATTCTTATCAAGTCTTGCTCAGAATCTATGAGAACAAATAATTTTTTAAATCGATTAACCAAGGAATATAAATAGACATACATATATATAATGTTTTTACCAATTTTATTATTAGTAATTGACATCAAAGACCAGAATCTAATACCAGAATCTCCACCGCCTGTTGCCTGAAAAAAAAGTTAAAAACCTATTAAATAAAATTCATAAATCATATATAAACATAAATATGTAAAGAAACTTACAACAATTTTATTTGATGGGTTGATTGCCAAGCTCCAAATATTTTTACCAACATGACCTTCCCAACATGCAAGGCAATCAACATCATTTACATCCTGATTATTATTGTTGTCATTGTTGTTGATTTCGTCTTCATAATCACCATCATTATTATCAATTGTGTAGAGTGTATTTTTCCAAACTCTACAAGTTGAATCCTTTCATACATAAATACTAATTAATATCCAAGTTTTTTTTAAAGGATAAATGACATATTTATTAGATTTTACTATTTACCTCAGAAATACTTATTAAATAGTCATCCAATATATAACAATCCCATACACGTGCCATATGACCATAAAGAACCAATGGAGGATTACTAATATTTAAATTAAGCTAATCAGTTTTCAAGAAGAGTTTAAATAAAATTTGTCGATAAGAAGAGAGTGCACACACGCACACAAGACCTACTTATCATCCTTTGCGGTTTTCCATATACGAATAGTTCTATCATCTGAAACAGATGATAGGAATTTTCCATCTTTATTGAATCTTACACTAAATATTACTCCCTATATATATATATATATATGATTACTCATTTTATTATAGGATATTCTTTTTAGTTTCTTCAATATCTTACTTACTTCATGGCCAATAAGTCTTTTGAATATGGAAGAATCTCCATTTTTGTTTTTATCACCCATCATTTTCCATAAAAGAATTTGATTGAAGACAGTACCAGAAGCCAAAATCAAATCATTTTTAGTATCACCAAAAAATCTTGCAGAATATATAATTGAAGTTTCCTCGCATTTAACAGAATACAAACAAATTTTGGTTTGATAATCAAATATTTCTACAAAATTATGAGCAAAGGCCATTGCTAATTCTGTTGGATTTTTAAAATTCTGGGTTTTTTAAATAATTAATGTAAGTAAATTAATGTAATAATAATAAACAAACTGATAAACAACAATAATAATTAAATTTTTACATTTTCATCATTTTCATCATTTTCATCATATAACCATTGAATATCATGAATCCAATCTTTTAATGGTGACAATTTGGATATAAGTGATATTTTACATTCTGGTGGGTTATCCGAATTATAAAAAAAATTAACTTCAATAATTTGAATTGTTTTTGATCCACAAATTGCAAATAATCTTTGTTCTTGAGTTATTGATCTTTGAATGAGCCCAATAATTTTTTTTGTATGTTTTACTAATGTTCAAAAAATCAAATTAGATTAAACTAAAAAAATTAAAAATCAACCAATAAAATATTCCTATTTTGCTTACCTGGTTTAATTTTATGAATTCTAAAATATTTTAAAACTTCAAAATTAATTAATAATTCACCGGTTGGAACATAAAATACTTTTAAATATGGACCTTGGCCTGATAATAATATTTCATTATTATGAAAACATAAACTTGTTACCGGCCCAGTATAAAAATGATGAATAAAAAATGGTTGTTCTAATTTATTGTCATCCATAATTCTGGACATTTTACATATAAATTGTAGATCTTCGATCAAAAAAATCTTATCTCAACAATTACTGTTACACGATTACTACTATATGGGAAACTTTATAAATAGAAAATTTAATTTACGGATTTACAAAACAAGGTAAGATTGTTTATTCATAAATACATACATCATTTATATACGGATATTTTGATCAAACTCCATTTACAGAGTGAGAGAGAGAGAAGAATTTAATTAGAGTAACTTCAAATATCGGTTATACATATTAACAGTTTGCTGTTGAATGAAAAATTGAAGACACGAAGCTTTGTATTACATTAATCTTTAAAATGTAGAGAGATTTGTATCTACGATGAAAGAAAAAATTTTTTAAACTAATAATAATAGTAACTTTTTGTGCTAATCAAATTTAGTGGTAAAAAAAAAAAATATATTTTTATAGTTTATAAATTACCAAATATTACAATTAGTACTTCTATTATAACAATTCACATTATCTTAAAATAACAATATATATTATTACTTATTTATTATTATAATTATCATTGTTGTTAAATTGTCCTCACAACCACACACACTGAACACATTACCTAACATCTTTCTTACACTTTCTTTTCCCTTAATCACCACCATTATTTCCTTCCGATTTGTAACAAATTATTTATCATTTTATTTACTTTTAAAACTTTATCTCTTTCTATATTCACACACTAAAGTACACATTTAATAAAAAAGAATTTGTAAAGATGACGTCAAATGCACAGTTTTTAAGAGAATATAAACTTGTAGTTGTTGGCGGTGGTGGTAAGTTTATTTCTGAAAAACCTCCGTCTTTTAACTTATTCTTAATATTATATCATCATTCAATGGTAGTCGTCTAATATTTTTAAATAAAATAATAATAACACGAAACAGTAATTTATTATAAAAAGATTATTAACGAATATTTTTTACTCCCTCTTCAATTAATTAATTGACAAATAAATAGGTGTTGGCAAATCTGCTTTAACAATTCAATTTATTCAATCACATTTCGTTGATGAGTATGACCCAACAATTGAAGGTATGTTTAATAATATAAAAAGAAATAATAATTATTTTTTAGTAAATATTAATTAGTTAATTAGGAATCATATTATTACTGGAGGAAGAATATATTGGTGTTCGACTCATTTATTAATTTTATTTATTTGCTAGATTCATATCGTAAACAGTGTGTTATTGACAATGAAGTAGCACTATTAGATGTATTGGATACTGCAGGACAAGAGGAATACAGGTATAAACAGCAAGCGAATCATTAGACGAATAAATAAATTATTAAAGAAACTATTTAATGGATATTTATTTATATGGAGCTAAATGGAGTTTTTTTTTTTAAAAATAGCGCGATGCGTGAACAATATATGCGAACTGGCGAAGGATTTCTTCTCGTTTATTCAATCACATCTCGAAATTCATTTGATGAAATTCGAATTTTTCAAGAACAAATTCTTAGGGTTAAAGATAAAGATCATTTCCCAATGATTCTAGTAGCCAATAAATCTGATTTAGAGCATGAAAGAAAAGTTTCACATCAAGGTTCGCGAAGGAATATTTTTTTTTTGCTTATTGATTTTATTAATGAATTTTAATTTAATTGGTTTTGTTTTTTTAAAAAGAGGGAGTAAAGCAAGCTGGCGAATTTGGATGTAAATTTATTGAAACTTCTGCAAAACAACGAATCAATGTAGATGATGCATTTCATAATCTTGTTAGAGATATTAGACTATACAATAAAGATCCAATGTTTGGTGGAAGAAATCCATCATCTGGCCCAGGAAATAATGATTATACGGATACATACGATGATAGTGGTTGTTGTTGTGTTATTTTGTAAATATATTTAAAAGTTTATTTGCACATAAAAAAATTATTTTAAATACTATTAAAATAATTACGAAATAATTACGACCATCACCACTACATCACCACCCAAATCACTTCAATTACTACATCTATCACTACAAAAATCACCATCACTACATTTCATCCCATCCCATCCTCATTTACATTTACATCTAAAACATTTACAATATCTACTATAATTACAATTAATTATAATTAATAACTAATATATGCATACACACATATATATATTCTTTTGTGCGCTTATTTTTCAATATTTCAAATTACATGTTTATAAAAATCTTTTTTTTGTATGTAACTTCTAAAAAAATTATAATTCAAAATTATCTATTTATTTACTATTATTTATCTACTATTTATTTATTATTTATTTTAGTAATAAAAAAAAACAAAACCAAAATGTATAATGTAGATTAATAGGTAATAATAATAAATATTATTATTATTTAATTATTTTGGATTTTATTATTAATGATTATTATTATTGAATTTATGTACAAACATTAAAAATTCTGTTCTCTCTAATTATTATTATAATGATGATGGGTCAATTAGTAAGAAGGAACAGAATACACAAGGTGAGATACCCAAAAAAACTATAAAGAATCGTTTTCAAAATTCTCAAATGTTGAAGGATATTTAGATTGATTCGATTTGATTTTGAGTTATATTAGATGATTAAAGAAATCACGATATATTATTATTACATCTTCAGATTAAATAAATAGATAAATAATAGTACACATCCCATTAAATCTTATATTCAATATGTCTGTCTACATTTGAACAGCATTGGGTAACACTTCTCCTCTAACTCCAGCTAAAACATTTTCAACTGCCATATTACCCATCAAAGTACGTGTCTCCAACGTCGAACTGCCAATATGAGGAACAACTGTGACATTATTGAACTTTAAAAGCGGATGATCTGACGATAATGGTTCTGGCGTTGTCACGTCTAATCCCACCGATCCTAAAAGCCCATCTGATAATGCTCGACAAAGATCTTCTTGATTAACAATTGCACCACGGGCAGAATTTACAAAAATCTAATACATAAAGTATATACTTGATGAATGGATATATATATATATGGTTTACTCTTTTTTGTTTAACTTACTATATTTCTTTTCATTTTTTTGAATGCATCATAATTGAACATTCCTTTTGTTTCTTCATTCAACGAACAGCACACACATATAACATCAGATTCGCTCAACAATTTATCAAACTCCACTCTTGCAGCTCCTAAATTAGTAGCTTCAGGCTTATTTGTTCTACCACTATAGATTATTTTACCGTCTGTACCTATGAATGGTTTAAGTCTATGTGCTGTTGCTGTTCCTATTCTACCAAGACCAACTATACCAATTGTCTTGTTTGTTAATTGTGTGCCTAATAATAATAAATTGTAATTTAATTGGTTTTTAAAAAAAATTAAAATAAAATAAGAATTAATTTTTACCAAGCATCCACGTTGGGCTCCAATCATTCCATTGATCATTTTCTATTGCAAGAATACCCTATAAGATCACATTAATAATAATGATGACAATGATAGTGATAACCCTTTAATAAATAATACCTCACGAAGTCTACGTCCAGCTGCCAATACTAACAAAACCGTAATATCTACAAATTAATCAAACAGTCAATCAATGATCAAAAAATCTATACAATACATTTTAAAGATTTACCTGCAGTGGCATCGGTGAGAACTCCTGGAGTGTAACCAAGAGGAATTTTTTTTTTAGAGAGTTCACTTATATCCACGTGATCATAACCCACTGTTTATTTTATTTTGTTATTTTTAGCTTTAAGTTTTATCCTTTTTTTGCTTAAGAAAAAAATTTTCATACCTGACATTGTAGATATGACTTTTAAATTATGTCCAGCTGCATCTAATAATTCCTTGTCAATTTTTTCAGTCAACATACAAAGAACACCATCCACACCTTTAATGCAAATGTTTTTTTAAAGAATTACTACCGAGAATTATCATTATCAATTTATTCATAAATAACAACCTTTAGCCATCTTTAAAAGTTGGTTACGTGGTATAGCTCCCTCGTCTTTCCAGCAATAAAGTTCAATGTCTCTAGCATTTTCTATAAGTTTTTGAGAATCTGGTGGTAAAATTCGAGTTAATAAAACTTTTGGGCGCGTTGTATTCATATTTTTTGTAAATATTCTTCTTGTTAAATGTCGAGAAAATAAATTTTGGCAATTTTTTAACATTAATATTCAACTGATGTATTAGTGTTACTGGTAAATGGATCTGGTCCTATTACTACTATATATATATAGTTTGAATTATGATAAAAATATTAATATTGCACGTATCGTATTTTCCTGATACCGAATATTGGGGGATTCTTAGTAAGAATTATCACATGACAAATATAATAAGTGATATAAAATTTGATTGGTCAGACCTGGTGGAAGATGTCAGTGGCGTGAGAGATGTCACAAAAATATATTATATATTCAGTTTTGAACGCATCTAGTAATTAGATAGAATCTTATTTTGATATTATGTACTAGGATAATTTTTTATTTCATTAAAAAAAAAGATAATCAGATTAATCAAATTAGATTATACTACATGTATATTTAAAAATCCAACATTATTAAAATGAGAGGACCAATAATAAAATAGTAATAATAATAATATTATTACTAATAAAATGAATCCAAGACAAAAAGCAAATTTTGCTACAACTTCAAGACTTTTAAAATGTATAATTAACGAGGGCTTGGCAAATGCTTATTATTATAACAACAATAATAACAGCAATGACAACGATGACATTGATGATACTGAATTAAATAATTCCTCTTTTTCTCCTCCTTCTACATATCATAATAATAACCATTCTCCCTTGTTATTTATAAATAATAAAATAAAAAATTCAAGAATGGTTTTTATTTTACCATTATCAACAACGAAACTATCATCTTTCCCTACAACAACTTCAACGTCGACACCAACATCAACACCAACATCATCAACATCAACATCAACATCAACATCAACATCAACATCAACATCAACATCATCAACTTCTTCACCAACAATCATAGCAACTGCAAAAATTAATTACGTGATTGTAGTTTTAGTTTCTCATAAACCAATTGTTAATGATGATGATAATATTGCAAAGGTGGAATTTATTGATCCTTGGGATATGATAGCCCCTGTTTATAAAATTCAATTTGTTGATATTTATGGAGATGATCAACCCAAATCACTTTTATCCTATTGTTTGAAATCTTTATATTTAGCAGAAGAGATCGAGGCACCAGATTTAATGAAATTGATTGGAATATGGTTAAATTTAAATAATAAGATTGTTGATGAGATTTGCGATGAATTAAATAGTTCTATTTTATATCAAGGTGTAACTTGTAACCTTTTCACTTAAATAATAATGATAGTATTGGTGATGATAATAATATATATGTATTTATTATATATTTAAATATATTAGAATATACATATAAAAGTACACGTCCAAAACCATCTTTACTTTCCACAAGTTTGGAATGGGAGCATAGTATAATTGAAGGGCATCCAACTCACCCGGTATTGATTATTTACTATTATATTATTATTATTATTAACATAATAAAATGTAATATATTTATAAGATCCTATAAAAAAAATTTAAAAAAAGATGCATAAATCACGAAAGGCAGTTCCGCCAATCCCACCAATCCCACCATCAACTTACAACTTTGATAGGCCAATGATTCGGTTTGTCTCTGTGCCCATTGATAAGGTATCAATATGTGGACCAATTCAAGAATTTTTAAATCAACTTTATGATATAATGAATCCAAAACCTGTGGTTCCAACAAATCAAATTCTAATACCAGTTCATGAATTACAACTACCAAACATTCTAGAAAAATTTCCTTACATTACTATTCTAGATTCATCTTACTCGATCCAAGCCATCAGTCAAGTTTCTCTTAGAACAGTAGTTTTTCCAAAACTTTTGGGGTTTTCTTATAAACTATCTTTAGGAATTAAAGTCACTTCAGCTCTACGTACAATTTCACCTTGGACTACACATATTGGTGTAGGTCTTTGTAACGTGTTTGATAAATTGGAGATTGACCAAAATATATTAAAAATTTCCAAAGAAATTGCTAGTATTGTCTCAAACGAAAAAGATTTTGACGTTGCGAAACATTTAAGCTGTATTATTAGATCAGATATAGGTAACTATGATTCTGCGGATGATAGTGGTGGTAGCAGTATTGATGACAAAGAAAAAATTATTATTTGTGCTGCTTTAACTGAAAAAGATGAAAATGGTAAAATTGTTGTGGAAAAGGTTTTTGAATTGAATACAGAGGAGAAACGTATTAAATTTTTAGAAAGGTATGAATTTATCGATATATATTTGATATATATATATATATATTAATCATTTATTTAATCAATCCGATTTTTTAGATATTCTAATCTTTTGTTTAAAGCTTTCTTGCCAACAGCAATGCACAATGGTTTTGCATTTGAAGCACACCCACAAAATGTTTTGGCACGTTTTAATTCAACTGGCGATCAATTACTTGGATTTGTTATAAGAGATTTTGGTGGTGTTAGATTTCATCAAGAAACAATAATAAAATCCATAGGTCAACCAATTGATGTATTAGAAGGAAGCGTTACTCTAGCCAAAGATCTACAAACGGTAATTATTCAATTTTTGTAGATTAAAACAAATTATTTTTCTTACTATATACATATTATTTTTTGTAGGTTTATGATAAACTATATCATACATTGATAATGTGTCATATTCATCGTTTAATAAGATCATTAGATTTACATTATTCGGGAATTGGATGGAAAATCATACGTGAGCAACTTTCCGCAATAATACCAAGAAATCATTTACTTTGGGAATTATGGATGAGGAATGATAAAATTAATTCAAAATGTTTCCTAAGAATGAAATGCGAATCATTGTATCGTGATGTAATTTATTTAATTTATTTATTTTTATTTTTTTAATTATTAAATGTTCAACTTTAATATTTATTTATTTGTTTGTTTATATTTGCATATCTGCATATTTAGTATATCCTAAGACCAAATCCAAATTTAATATTATATAAATCTTAAGAGGCCAAATAAGCAATGAGTAAATTGAAAATTTAATTTTTAAAAATAGTAAAGTAATAAAGTTATAAATGGGGCCATTCTCTAGAGATTGATTTAAGAACTTTTTAGCTTAGCAACTATATCCATTTGCTCTTTTTCATTGATTTCAAACTCGATAAGCCTATCAATTATTCTTTGAATAATACAGACTACCAAAATACTCTTTAGGTCTTCATTCATAGCTTTTGAAAAGCTTTTAAATATATATCAATCTCGTCACTTTCAGTATCCTTTACCTCGGAACACTAATTGCAAAATAATAATCAATCTAATTGTTTAAGGCAAAGTCTCATTTTTTGTTACTGCCCAAATTATTTTTTAATAATAGCCAAATCAAACCATTACTATTATTTCTAATTTAAATTTATAGTTTGGATATGAAATTCTGATTGGCTAATTTGAATTTCACATATGGGGATGTCCACCAGCAATATGGTGGTCTGAGGACCCTTGGCCAAAATTGAGTTTTTTGCATAATGTATATCTATATCATAAGGATTATAATGGGAAACCACGTTTACCTAATACAATAAAGAGACATAAGGAAGGTTGGCTTTACATATCAAAACATAAGTGTAACCATTTTGTTTACACCGAACAATTTAATAGTCTCAGACTCCTTTTTTTGCTGGTGGACATATGTGAATTGCAATTCACATAAATTTTGACCATGAAATTCATATGTATGTTACACTAGCCCCTATCCTTAAATATGATCCTGCTACTACATGAAGAAGTAACAATTCTTGTGAAGTTCATCAGGAATTTCTCTTTTTAATGACTTGAAAGTTGATTGATAATGATGACTCCGAAAAATTAAAAACAAACTTTAAATTTACCATAAAGGTATATACAATGGATATAAATAAATATACAAACCGTATTTCATATACTACTCTTATTAAGTCTGCAAACGGTATGGCTGATGTCCCTGAGATTTTAAATAATTTGCTAAATTTGATCCCTGAAATCCTTTGTAGTATAATGTTCACTTTGTATCCCATATTATCAGAGAAAGACCCTCGACTATATTTAATGATAATGAAATAAATGATGATGATAATATTGAAGAAAACAACGATAATAATCGTCAGAAAGGAGAAAACCAAATAGTGGGGATATAAATGAAAATCAAATTAGAGAAGTTGGATAAAGTAGTTGATCTTAATAAAATTGCACATGAAAGTTCTTTACATGAATCTAGAACAGTATTGCATTCAGAAATTGATATTCATTGTTTAGTTTATATTTTAATGTTGATTGATATTCTAAATACTATTTGTGTAACACGAATCTTTATGCAGCATAACGTAAACTTGCAATATTACACTAATTTTTTTATCACGGCAAACGTTCTGGCAATAGACTAGATTTGAATTGGATCTGAACTTTGATCTCCAAATTTAGAGAGGTAACAACTAGATGAAGTTTCAGGAGCAATGGGTTCTGTATAGCATTTCGTGTAACAACAAACTTCACTATGCTTCTTTATGCCAATGAAAAAAATTCCTGAATATATTACTAATCTTAAAATCAGATGGGGAAACGCCTGATAAATATCCATCACATAAATTACCAATTACATGTCTTTAGCCAAATTTGAGCAAATAAAAAGATTTTTTCATGTCTCGGATCCAACATTCAAGAGAATACTCGCTTGCGTCATGTATTTTAAATAGTCGCACAAAGTATTATCTTCCTTCTTTGAATTTATCAAACAATGAGATGATTATTAGATTTTGTGGTATATAAAAAGTCTTCCCGAAAGGTAAAAGTATTTGCGTGCAATGTGCAATGCAGGATATACATATTATTTTATATACACATCAAGAACAAAAAAGTATTCATTTGTTCAAGATATACCAGGATCAAATCTTTTAACATTTATATGGACAACTATTTTAGTAGTATAAGTTTACGTGAAAAAAATTTGGCGCATAAAATACATCCCAAATATTCTGAAAACTGGTAAAAGATTAGATCGTTGTTTATGATTTATGAGATTGCTGGTCCAGAAAATAGAATAGATAAATAACGTCGTTGCCTAAAAACTACAAGTGCCAATGTAACCAAAGTTAAACAAATATTTGGAGATGCAGTAAAAAACCTTGCCCATCCTAAAGTTACAGATGATTTACAATAATCATGAGTGATGTAGATATCACTGATCAACTATGCGGTTCTTATGCTATTCAATTGACAGCTAGAAGAACTTGGGTGCTGATGTCTTAAACACTACAATCGTCAATTGTTATTTAATCTATAAAAACTGTGATAAAAATTTGGGTCACAAGAATTTTAGAGTGAATTTAGCTTGGGATCTAGTTGAGTCTGGTTTGAGTGAAAAAGATGAATCTAATATTAGTAAAAGTACATCAAGAAGTAAATCTGTAAATAATTGTAATAGAACGATCTATATCACAACAAATAACCTTGCATTACCGATAGGAAGATTAAGCTTGGTGGGCATCTCCCTGAATAAGCGTGAGAAAAACTTGTGTGTGGTGCAGCAGATATAAAGAGAAAAAGAAGAAGGGAAATCTTCAAGTAGTGAATTAAAATCTGTATTCTACTATAATTTATGCAAAGCTCCATTAGACAATAGAAATCGTTTTATGAATTATATATATAACAAATTTTATAATTTTTAAAATTTTGTGTTGACCCTTCTGTATATATTATTTTCCATTAAAATATATCTCCCTTTTAGAGCTTGGATTGTAAAATCCTTAGTATTAGGATATTCTACTACCAAATCTGCCATCGTACAAACTATAATTTTTTAGATAAAGTTTTTTTTTTTTTTTTTTTTTGAGATTAAAAACATGCATACATGTATTGATAAGTCGGACGCAGCAATTGATTGTTTAAAGTACTTGATAATATAAAATAAATGGCCGATTTATCGATTTTACATGTGTACAATTTTTGTGTAGATTAGTCATAAAAATCCAGATCTCATCAATTAAAGTATTATTTCTGTCAATTATGTTTATATTATTTAAAAAAAAAATCGCGACAGTCTGGGAAAATACTCAGCACTTAACCAATTTTATAATTCTCCTGCCTGCACAGAAAATCATTATCCATTGTTAGTTAAAACGTTACACCAATAATGGGGTCAACCCTACTGTTTTGATTGTTACACCGGACAAAATAAATATAAATAAATAAAACTAATATAGAAGAAACATTGTATAAAAGATTCAAGGTCAATAAAATGTGTCAGTTTGTAAGTTTTTTTAAAATTCTCTGATAAATTTTAATTCTTTGAAACTAAATAACACATAGTAGTATAATAGTAATAGCAAAAAATATATATTATTATTACAGTATTTTGATGATAATTTAAAATAACTATTTCAAAAATATTGAATTATGAGTGTTGACGATAGAATATCATCAATATCATCATCATCACAATCAGAATCAATACCTCCCAGTATACTAGAAGAAGATAATAGAATATTAAATACATTTGCCGGTTTTGCCGGAAATGTAAATAACGTGATAGGATCAGTTAGTATTAGTGTCATTTTAATTTTTTAGTCTTTTTATGGCATAGCATTTATTTTATATATATATATATATACATTGGAATTTTAGGGAATTTTTACCACACCAGGAATCGTTTGGCAAACAGTATGTACATATACTCATATAAAGGAGATAACCTTTTAATTTTTCTAAGCAACATATTTAAATAATTTATTTTTTTTTAGGTTGGTTCACCTGGTGCGGCATTGATTTTATGGATGTTGGGTGGGTTAATAAGTTTTTGTGGATCACTTACATACGTTGAGGTAAATAAATAAAAATTGATATATAAATAGAAAGTTAATTTCTTTTATATTATTATAATGACAATAATTTAAATGTATTTATTCAATTTAATTAAAAAGTTTGGAACTATAACATTAGAAAGTGGCGGTGAAGTTGCCTTTTTTAAAAGGGCATTCCCTGTTCCCCAAATGCTTATGAGCTACGTTTTTAGTTTCGTATGGATTTGGTAAATTTAAAAATATTCAGTCGTGGTATAACTATCAAGTGTGTATGTGTATTATATTATATAGTTTTTATTTATTATGAATTTTTTATTAATATTATTTAGTGCAATAAGGCCTGCAACTATAGCAGCGGTATTACAAGCATTATCACAATATTTTTTATTTGCTATTTTACCACATCCTGATGAGAATGATATATCAGAAAATAAAGCAAAATACTGTGATGATTCAATACGATTTTATCAACAATTACATCCAAATAATGGCTGGAATATGGAATTTTGGTATTGAAAAAAATCATTCTCAATGTTAAAGAATTATTTCTCATATACATAAACAATAAATTTAATTATCACATTATAAATAGGCTATTAAAATCGGTTGGAATAACATCTTTGTCACTTATTACATGCTATCACATGCGTTCAAATGTTTGTGCAAATATAATAAACCAAGCATTGGCTACAGTTAAAATGACCACCCTAACTGTCATAATAATAATCGGATTTGTCAAACTTTTTACAACTGACCTTAATGATACTAATTGGATAAATTTATTCAAAGGTTCTACCGTCGCACCTCCAAATCTTGCTAGTGCTTTAATTTCAGTATGTTATTTATATCAACCATTAATTTAGTTAACTTCAATTAAAAGAGTCCTGATATCTGATTTACTTATTTTTTATCTTCTCTTTTGGCGTAAAAAAAAGATTTTCTTTGCATATGAGGGTTGGAATAATTTGAACTGTCAGTAATATCATTAAATTATCTGAATATTTTATTTAATCGAAATTTTTCCAACTTATCATTATATATATATATATATATATATATATATATATATATATATATTAATTAATCAAATAGATTCTTTGGATGAATTTAAAAATCCTAAAAAAAATTTAGTGTACAGTAACAGTCTTAGTGTTATTGTTGTAACTATACTGTGTATGTAAATACATATTATATATATATATATTATTATTAATATTATATATATATGTTTTTGATTAATTAGTTATTTATTTATAGATACTCTTACAAATGTTGCCTTCATCACAGTCGTGAGCTCGGATGATATAAATAAACCTGGAAAAGATTTCAATGAAGTGATAGCGGCTTTTTTTGCTAAAAAAATAGGCGGTGAAAAATTTGCAAGAGCATTGGCTTTTTTTGTTTCTCTATCGGCTTTCGGTGCAGCATCCTCTATGACATGGAGGTTAGAATAAGCAACAGAAAAAAAAAATAAGTGTATTTTGTTTTGAATTTAACATAATATTTTTGTTTGTATGTGTAGTGGTTCTCGTGTTATTGTAGCTGCTGCAAAAGATAATCTTATACCATTTTATTCTGATGGTTTAAAAAGATGGCATAATGAATATTTCACGCCTTATAATGCTCTTATAGTGCAATATTTATGGTGCATAATAGTGTTCATCACAATTGGTGGCGCATTCTCTTCAGATTCATTTAAAGTACTATCAGACTTTGGCACATATGTTGTGTGGATTTTTTACTTTCTTGCCAGTGTTGGCTTATTGGTAAGTAAATAAATAAAATATATACAGTATATGTATATAACCAACCAACCTAACATTTATTTATATTTAATAATCAGTGGCTTAAATATAAAGAACCAAAAATTGATCGACCATTTAATGTTTGGTGGGGACTAACAGTTATATTTATGCTTAGTGCTATATTTATAATTATTGGAAATGCGATGGAATTAACTATAAACGTAACAGACAATCCAGAGTATGATAATCTAATGGTGGATTGTCAAAAGAATGCAACGCGTATAGAGAATTATATAAAATCAGTTATAAGTATTGGATTTATAGTTTCTGGGCTTATTTGTTGGTATATTAGCTATTATAAAAAACCTAATACTGCTTATATACCACCAGTTCAACAAGTTAATCAATGAACATAGTGTTTTAAATTATCATCAACCAACAAATTATTCATATGATATTGTAAACTAGGGAATTTAATAAAAAAACCCATTTAATTTGATTATGACTCGCTAAATTTTGCTTTTTCCTTACAATAACCTTTTCTTAATTAACAGTCGGACGTGCATTATATATTAATAACACCAGTAATGTTTCGAGCTTAAAAATTTTTAAGGATTGTTGGATTCTTTTTTTATTATTACAGGATTTACAAAGAATCATACATACAGCCAAACCTTGTCACGGCGGATGAACGGGACACATAACAATAAGAAAATTTTATTTTAAAATTCATTGTGGCAAGATTACTAATTATAATACTAATAATGTTAATATGCGAAGCAAAATTTAAAAAATCCGTTATGACAAGAATTTAATTATAGCCTTACGCGAATAACGGTTTAAAGAACAACTTCATCATAACCAAGCTCTAGTGATAGATTTATCAATAAAAGAAATTAAACATTCTCAAAAGTATCTACCAAAACCTGATTTATGTGGTATGTAAAGGTCGTTATAAGTACCAATATTGATCAACCTATGTTGCTTCAAACTCAAACACCAAAGACAGCTTAAGCACATTATTGTCAATTTAATACAACTCATATGTATGTAAAGTCAATTAATAATAAAAGAATGGTTTTAATTTGTAAAAAAGAAGAGGCAATTTTATTTTGAAAGAAAATACATGGAAAAAATAAGTAGCTTAATTAAGTGAAACTTCTAATTCAAATCTCATGATAATTATTCTTCTTGCATCATTGCAATATACATACAATGATGTAGTAATTCTTTATTCATCCCGGGACACATATCTTTACATAATTTGGAATTATCATTATTGCTGCTTATATCAAACGTTTTTACTTATGCCTAGTGTTTTTAATTCCGTCAATTGGTTTTACTTTAGTAAAATCTTCAAAATAGCCTGGCGAGAAACTACCTTTTGTCAATACTTTAGTTGTGTCGATGACTAAAGTCAAAGTTTCGTCATGCATCATTAGCTCGCAATGTTAATTTAATATAGTTATTGATTTTGAATGAATTACAATTACCTTTTTGAATTCCTCTGACGAATTTAGATATTGCTTATATGAATATTTCTTTTCTTTAATTAGTTGAGCCAGACCACATAATTTGCCAATCTAATTGAAAAATTCAAAAACCATAACAATATAGTTTATGAATATTTTGAAAGCAACTATGAAATGCATCACAATCAACCATCCAATTATAATCTAAATGTGCGGTTTCAAGTATCCATATCAGCCGATTTGGTTTTTGGGCCTTTTTTCAAACCTTATGTCTTATTGTGTTTCGATGTTAAACACGAGAGTATTTTAATGTGTAAACTGGTCAGTAGAATGATAATTAACCCTAAAAAAAATTATTTGCACAGCTAAAAAATCCAAACCAATGGTACCACCTCAAACTAATGGGTTTTTACTATTCATAATGCTATGATCATACCGTACTGAATTTTGGGGATCAAACAAACAAAATCAGCGCATATGATCGTCAGATGTTAAGTAAAAAATAATGGTTTTAAAATTGTATTATAAAGAACCAAGTTATGTTACGATCTTGATTTTGAAATGAATGATCTAACGGGATCAAATCATTCATTGTATGCATTCACAAAGTTGATTTTATGATTTAACCGTTAATTATATAATATATTTTTAAAGGTTAGAGTGAATATTATTATTACATTTATAATTTTATATACTGAATTCGGGGTTTATTAATGGTGATTACTCCAACAATTCAAAATTTCATTCAATGTCAATTTTCATAAAGAAAGCTTTGCGTCTACTAATAAACAATTGATCAATGTTTTGATGCTGTTTTTATTGACCAAAGAACTAAAAGTGCAATTTGAAAATTTTGATATTGACAACCAATAGTAATTAGATATAATGTGTGAACCAATGAATTTTCAACTAGATCTAATTTCAAACATGTACAACAATAAAAATAATAATGACCGAAAATAACCAACAAAAGCAAGATAAAAAAGAACAAGAACAAGAACGAAAAGAAAAAAAACACAAGCAACAAAAAGAAAAACTAGAACAGGAACAAGAACAGGAACAACAGCATAAAGCATCAAAACAACAAATACCTTTAAAAGTATTTGCAATTGGTTCAGCTTATGAAGATACGATTCTTTATGTTGACAAGTTTCCTCCTGAAGATGGCAAACAAAGAGCTCAAAGAGTTGAAAAAAGAAGGGGAGGAAATTCTGGTAATACATTAACAGTATTATCACAATTTCCATTGACACGTTGCCATTTCATGGCATCTATGGCATCAAAAGAAGCATCTGCGTAAGTGTATCTTTCATTTTAGAAGTTTATTATTTTTATTTGATTATATATATTTGTATACTAGAAATATTGATTTGTTTAAAAAAAATATATATTTAGATTTCTAATACAAGATTTTCAAGCCCATAATATAAAAACTTCTACGTGTATATATAGAAATAATGCAAGTCATGCGCCAGTAGCGTATATAATACACGCAGATAGTACAGGCTCTAGAACAATTATAAATTATAATAGGTAATCGTCTATATTTATATTTTGCATATTTTTATTTATATTTTTCATTTAAAATATCTCATTCTACGATATATATAATATAGTATAGATGAATTAATATTTGATGAATTTAAACACAATTTTGATAAAATTTGTACTGAAGACATAGTCGAAGATGACGATAAGATTATACCTTTTAATTGGATTCATTTTGAAGGACGTAATGCAGAAGAAGAGGCGAAGATGATTGATTATATTGACACTAAAGAATGGAGATCTAAAGCTATGGTTAGCGTAGAAATGGAAAAACCGTATCGTAGAAATTTAGAAGTCTTGATGCATAGAGCCGATGTATTATTTTTTTCAAAAGTTTTTGCTGAAGGGAAAGGATACAATGACGCAGGAAATTTTTTACAAATAATGGCACCATTTTGTAAAAATACGTTAGTATTTGTTCATTTAATATGAATATTTGTATTTGTGTGTGATTAATTAAAAAATAGATATTCTAATTCAATCCAACTCAATTTAGCGCATATTTGTTTTGTACATGGGGAAGTTCAGGTGCCATGTGTTATCACAATCCAACACAAATGCTGTATAATTCTTCTGCTTTTCCAATACCCAATATTGTTGATTCTGTAGGAGCAGGTGATACATTTATTGCTGGGGTGATCTATGGATTAACTCAAGAATTATCACCTGATGTTTGTTTAAAATTTGCGTGTGAATTAGCAGGACGTAAATGTGCACAGATTGGTTTTAATAAAGTTGTGGAGAGAATGGGAAAATAGTTTTAAAGCAAAGGTATAAGAAGAATGGAGGTGGTAAGTAGTATGTGAATGAGATGAACGATTAATAGATAATAATTTAATTTCATAAAATATAGATTAATTTATTTTATAATATTTTTTAAAAAATGGTATAAATAGCATAATATTAATAATTACAATTAAGTTAATTAATAATAATAAATTAATAAATTCTTGTTGTTTTTAAACGTTGAACATGTTTAAGAATATTGTCTTTTTTTTTTTAGGATCTATTTTTGGTTTTAACAAATAGTAATAATAAAAAGAATTATTATATATGTGTGTAATTAGGAAAGCTCGATCACAATCATCTATTGTCGAATATTATTTGCTACCTATTTATTCATAAATATAAAATTATTGTTATTCATTTCAAATGAATGATATTAGAAAATACAAACAAGTTGATTTATCAATATTTTTTCTTTTAGTAAATGTTTCTTCTATCTTTGACAATGTGGTTTCTAATTATCAAAATGTTTCTTTGGGTCCATTATTAACATGACCAATTCCGCCTAATAATAAATCAGTTACTATTACCGAACCCATCTGCATATATATTATTATAAATAATACAAGGGATGTTATTATGAGTTAAAAAAGACTAATACTCCAAACAAAATAGGAGGAACTTCCAACAGTTAGTATAGTCGTACTTTACAATTTATAAATAATTAATAATTGTAACAGATCAGATCCTGTTATATGATTTAACAAAATGAATTGAAATGAACAAAAAATAGTCTTGGGTCCTGATTCGCGTGCAAGTAAATTATATTATCATACAAGCTGGATTATATCGAATTTCTTTCAAGTCCAAGTGCTTGTATGCAAAGGGACATGAAGCTTGCAGACTAGTACAAAAGTTCGGTTAAATAATTCCGCAGAATACACATAACAAAATATAACATTTCGTGGCTTAGGTTCTCAAAAATAAGCATGTAAAGTTTCAAGTTTCTGTAATGTCCAAGAAAATAACAAAAAATTTTGACCAAAAATTTTTTTGATCTCCAAAATATTCAAAATAAAGACAATGGTTTTGTTGGCTGCCCATTATTTCATTATTTGTAATAACTATTTTTATTTGTTTCTTTGATCAACAATCAAACGTCCTCCTCTTCAGCCAAATCTCTTTCTGAAAGCCTTTTGTCATTCTAACTACAGTAGTTCTAGCAAGGCCAGTGTTTTAGAATTGTGCATCCGTCTTTATAAAGTCTAATGATTTGACCATGTTCAGATTCTTTTAAATTTGACAATTTTTTTAGTAAATAACAAAATGTTTGTTTTTGCCTAATTAAGTGTTCTTCCTGCATTGTTCTCGCTTTTTTTTTAAAAAAATATATATAGAAGCTTTAAAAAAGGATCGTAAACTTAATTTGGCAATTTACTTTATGATGAAAAAAAAATATGATGACGAAATCGTGGAAAAAAACATACAGTATTTATTATTTGTTCCTTATGCCAAATTGACGAGATATTTCAATGGGTAGACACTTTTCTAAACTCTTAAAATGGTCGGTTATTGTCAGCAATCTTTTCAAATACCCGCAACTACACCAAATATTTCGAGATCCATCCTCTGTTCGTGGTTGAAGTTTTCAACTATTCTTATAAAATGAATTTGAAATTTTTTTAATATTCATTCGTTCATTCACGTATGCTGATTCACGAATTATCTAATAGCCAAGTGACTGTAATTGTAATTACAATAATTGTATTGGTGATGTTAATCATAATAGCATCTATAATAATGATCTCGAATATTTCCCGAATAAGGAAGGAAGAAATTTGGAATTTTTTAAAAAGATCTCGTGTCAATTCTCAAAGTCATTATACTGTCGAGTGTAATTTCCGTAAAATTTTTTGGGATAGAAACGATGTATATGAACTGCAAGCTCACTTGTCAAATGTTTGTTTGTCGTGTCCAGATGAAGTTAAAAATTTTATATCGACAGATAACAATGATAGTTAACGAAATAAAAAGGTTGAATCTATTAGTAAAGCACTTGTTAGAGTTTTTGTTTGTGGTGGAGTATAATCAATAATCCTTTTTTTTTAGAGAGAATGTCTTTATGAATCAAGACCTAATTACAATCCACCGCCACGACAAATACTTTCCAGTGCAAAAGTAAATAATTCTATGGATTATATTTTTTTTAACTTACACGGGATTAATATTAATTTTTTTTCAGGATTAGATAATTATTTGATTATGACGTGTGAAAAAAAAAAAGAATATTTATATTACCTTAAAGGTAGGACGATTTTTAGCCAATGAGATTATCTCGATTTTAAATGAAGTTTGTGTAAACAAATTCGTGGCAATAGTAATAGTGATAATGACTCTAACGTAAAACTTGCTAAAAAAAGTTGTTAGTGATTTTTATTAATTCACATATTGTCAAAAACATGTACATTTAATATATCATGGAAAGGCTATCTATATGTTTCAATATTGTAAATTTTTTAAAAATCACATTTTTATTATAACGAACAACTGATGTTAACATGATTCAAGAAGGGAGGTTGAAAACATTCGTTAAGACAAGATGGACATCTAGTCTCAAAGTCACAAGTACTAATACGAAAAGCATCGGAAGATGTGATAAAATTTTTTTTAAATTTTGTGTTTTTTAATAATAAAAGGAATGTTAGTTGATATTGTTTTCTAAAACTATATAGGGAACAATTAATCATAATAATAAAATCTGAAATAAAACAGTTAAAAGGTATTTATTTAAGAGAGTCCAATTTTTTTGAAGAGGTCTTTATTTTATCCCAAACAAAAATCACCATCACTGTGCTTGAGGGAGAGACAACAACTTTAGCAGATATTTTATTCAGTTAGTAAGACTAGCTTACAAAATTAAACCTATAAATAACGGTGGAATGATTGGATTCAAAAAACATGCAATCAATGCTTTTAATAAAAGGTGGAAGAATTTGATATTAGTATTTGGCTTATTTTTTACATCCGGGTTATCGAAGTTAGTGTTATTTTTAAATACAATAGTTACAGGAATCAAAGCAGGCCAACACCAAACGCCGCAAGAGAAATTTGAGAAAATTTTGAGAATGATAAACATCTGTTGAAGTCTTATTTTTACAAATCAGAAAATATATAAGTTGAAATTACCTCTATACGAAATGGTATATGTATGTTCCTGCAAACGACACGCCAAAAATTTGGTGGTACAAGCACTAATGATGATCCACATAGTGCCTTGTGCGAAAGAATATTTTCAACCCTTGATTGGATTTATGGAAAGAAGAGGTTACGCTTATCTATCCAAAAAGTGGAAAGAATGGCAAAAGTAATTTCTTATTGTCATCGATTGTGGATTGCTGTTGATCATCATTTTTTAGTATCTTTATCATATTAATTAATATATTCCAACACATGTAATTGTTGACAACAAAATTCAATCAATATGTTTTTTTTTTTGAAAAGAAGTTATATCAGTTTATCAGTTATGATGGAAATTTTTATGGTAAAATTTAATAATAAATCGAATAACTTTAAACCATGATAACTTTTTTTTTCCATAATAAAATTGAATGAAACTTTTATGGTTTTATTGTTTAAGTCTTCTATAATAAAGTTACAGAGAACCTTTTTCCCCATCTCATTTAGTTATAAAGTTTATCTATTATATAGCAATTTTTTTTCAACGTCTTTACTATATATAAAAAAAATTCATTTTTATTTGATAAGAAAAAAAACTCTATGATTTAAAAGCTTAATCTATTTACTATAATTTCCTTGGTTTCATGTTTGTATCTCTTTATTTGAAGGCTCTGATACAATTTTTATTTATATAGTTTTTAAGAAAAAAATTTATTGTGTTCACCTAATTTTGATTTAATTAGGGCATCTCACACCCGACCACTGATGAATTGAAATATACAGGAAAATTTTTCAAGTCTGAAGAATTAAAATCAATATGATATGGAAAATAATATTCTTTTTACGAATGACTGAGTCACGTTGATATAATAATAGCAAAACTAGATATGAGCTTGGATCATAATAATAATAATAATAGGGTTCTGCGTACCTGGATATCCTATCCGTTTGTCAAAACTATTGCTATTGTTATTATATCCTGATATCCTATCCATTTATCAAAATTATACCCGCAGATATTAATATCCTAATACTAATACTAAGGATTTTGCAAGCTCTAATTCTCGCAATATTCGTGAAAAACGCTTTGGGAAAAAATATCCCCTAATCAACCAATCGCAGTGTGGGTCAAATCTTATGATTTTTTTGTTGATTGTGACTTTCTTTATTTGGTGCGATTTTTAATCTTGGAATAAAATATAATCTACTATTACATTCATTGTATTACATTATATTAATTGTTAAATTGTTAAATTTCAATAATTGTAAAAAATGGAAGCCTTGTACTTTAATGTCGATGATGGTTATACGGAAGGTATTGTGAGAGGTTATAAAAGTGGCATTCTCAATTCTACACACTACTTGAATTTGACTCAATGCGAAACTTTAGATGGTGAGTGACAATTAGGCATTATAAACAACAACACAATAAAGGTTTTAAATTCTGATTTTATTTTTTACAAATAGATTTAAAACTTCAATTAAGTGCCACCGATTACAGCAATTTTTTGGCAAATGAGCCATCGCCCATAGCAACTTCAACAATTCATGAAAAAGCAACACAAAAATTAATTGATGAATTTAAGTATGTACGTGCCAATGCGTCAGAGAAATTGTCTAAATTTTTGGATTACTTGACGTAAGTAATAATAATAATAAATTTGTGGATTTATTTTATGAATTTTATAATTAATTAGTTAATTGATTAATTCTTTTTAATTAGGTATGCTTATATGATTGATAATGTGATACTTCTTATAACAGGAACTTTGCATGAAAGAGACACCAATGAGTTATTAGAAAGGTGTCATCCACTTGGTATATTTGATTCAATGCCCGCGTTATGTGTTGCCACAAATACTGATGAATTGTATAATACTGTGTTGATTGAAACACCACTTGGTATCAAATATATTTTATTTTAACATTTATTATTATTATTATTATTATTATTATTATATTAAAATTTAATATTATTTTAATAGCACCTTATTTTGAAAATTGTATTTCTGCTGACGATCTTGATGAATTGAATATTGAAATTATTCGTAATGCACTTTACAAGGCATACCTTGAAGATTTTTATAGATATTGTAAGGAAGAACTTGGTGGTGTTACTGGACAAATAATGAGTGAAATTTTAGAGGCAAGATGATGATAATAATAATATTTTTTGGTTTTATTTTGATTTATAATGAGCATTTTATATTAATTTTATATTTATATTTTGTAGTTTGAAGCAGATAGACGTGCAATTAACATTACCATAAATTCTTTTGGAACAGAATTGTCAAAAGATGATCGGGTTAAATTGCTCCCAAGTTTTGGAAAATTATACCCTGCTGGTCATGAAAGGCTTAGAAAAGCTGATGATGTTGAACAAGTTAGAAGTGCTGTAGAAGCTTGGACTGTATGTATATCAAGAAACCATTGAATTTAAATAATTCATTAATATTGATTAGTTGATAGTCATGATAACAAATTAATTATCAAATGAATTAATAAAATGATGTAGGAATATCGCTCATTTTTTGACATGACTTTGACTTCATTTGGTGGTGAGGCTACAAGTGAAGCCAAGACCTTGGATGATCAATTTTTTGAATATGAAGTTCATCTTAACAAACTTACATTTCAACAGCAATTTCATTATGCTATTTTTTATGCATTTTTAAAATTAAAAGAACAAGAGATTAGGAATATTGTGTGGATTGCTGAATGTATTAGTCAAGGGCAAAAGGAAAGAATTAATAATTATATACCAATTTTTTAATACTTACTTATTTATATATATTTATATATTTTGCACTTGATCCAAGCATTTACCCAATCGATTATTAATCACTTAGTCAATTTTATTTAAATAACTTGGAAATATTATTTAATTGAAAATCATTTATTATTCTTATTATTTATTACTCATTAATAATAATAATGATAACTTTGTAATAAACTTTTTAGAATAAATTTTACTATAAATTCATAAAAAATTAAAAATGGAAATACCATAAAATGAGTTCGAATCATGACTACTTTACACCTTGTAATACTTCATCATCTTCTTCAATATCCCATAACAACATAAACATCGAAAAAGAATTTGATGAAGAAACTAAAGAATCTTTTAATTATGAAATTTTAAATTATAAAAATAATGATCGAAAATCTAAATGATGATAATACAGATTATCTTAACAATTTGATCACTCTTGGATTATAATACAAATAACAACAATAATATAAATTTTATTATTTCAATAACCAAATCAAATTATTATCATCAAGAAGAACAGTTAGAAATGCCACCACAAATACCAGAATCAACATCAGTGGCTCAAAACAAATAGAACAACATGCATCAACTCCACCCTGAATTTTACTACAAATTTAAAAATGATATCAATAATTATGATGATATTTGCATGCAAGCAAAAAACAAAATGCATTTGAAGTTGATGAAAATCTTGTTTTTCTTTTCAATTGAGGAGAGTTAATATTACCATCAACATAATACAAATGACACAGAAACTCATTGAGGACAAAAAATTTTATGTAAATATCATTGCCAAACATTTATTAATAATTAATCTTCTGGATTGAACCAATTGTTGATATTAATATGGGGCATGCTGCAACAAAACAAAGTGAAAGGATTTTAGAGTTCAAAATTTAGTAAATTAACCTATAATGCGTATATATTTTACTTGCTAATATGAAATTATAAATGCAAAATCACAAAGTAATTGTAAAAATATTTATTATGAATAATAATACAAGTGAAGATAATCAAGAGAAAAAAAATAAGAAGTTTGAAAAGCATAAACTTGAATCTTCTGAAATGTAGCTAGATTTCAGTGATACAGGCAGGATGGTTTACCTATGGAAATTAATTACTAATTGAAAAATTTGCTATTGGAGAGACAGGGAAAAATAGAGGCCACATTCAACAGCTTATTTTGGAAAGTGAGTTAAAAAGAATTTGGATGATATTATTAGCAAGAATTAAATGGTTGGAAAATCTTATAATGACACTAATTATCAAGATCATGAAAGTTTAAAAAACTATGAGAAGGTCAAATTAAATCTGAAATAGGATGATTAAAAAGTAGCCAAGAAAAGCATTGAGAAAGAGAGAGCTCATAAACTTGATCAAAAACTTTGGGAAAGGTTGAAGAGAAAGGATGGTTAGAATACAAACAGTTTGAATTAAGGAATATTTTGTGAGAAAAAACAACTTTATCAATAAAATAATTTGCTGGTTGAAATAAATATGATCATTGAAGAAATGATAGCCACTACTTATAGTTCTTTTTTTTAAAATGCTTCTAGGTAACCTTTTCTTTATCTTTTTCAATCAAATATTTATAAAATCTTTGTTGTGGAGAAGTAGTCATTCAATTGGAGAAATCATGAATATAGGCCCAGATTTTGATTGCTAATTGATGTTCTTCAGTCCACCACATGAATAATCAAAAGATTACTTGATCATTCAAAGAGATTTGAAGTTAATCTTGTGTCAAAATATAGACAATGTATTTTTGAACAAGAATATAGTCACGAATTTTTGCAGCTACTAAGGTAGAGATAGGTGTCACTTCTGATTTGAGCTCATATTGAATTAAAGATGGTATATGATTAATATAATTTCATTGTAGAGTAAATCTACGCATTTGATTTCTTCTTTTTGAGCAAGAAGCTTAACCTCAGTACTCGTAAGTCATTTGGTAAATTTGATGGTGGAGTCCATGTATGAGTTGTTCTTCAGGAATAAGCGTAAACCTCAGTCGAGAAAATTTAAGTGACTTCATTAGCACTACTCAACCATCTAATCCTTCTCCTTGTTTTACAAATTTCCATGGTCTGTATCATTGGCACAAACTGAACCTCTAACTGTTTTTTCTATATATGCACCTAAAGTAGCTGAGTCAAATACTCCATAAAAGAAACTTTATTCATTTACTTTTTTAATTCTTGGCTGGATCAAATTTTCGAGACTTCGTGTATTTGGAATATAATGAATATCGTTTTAAATAAAAGGTTTTGATTAAAAGAGGCAAAAAAGGAAGTTAAAGGTAAAGATTGTGTATGTCAATCACTTTATATACACATGATTTCCTGTTTCTTGTTGTTCACAAATTTTTTTAGACTTTGATCTTTTTACCGTTAAAGAAAAGTTCTATCCAAATATTAAAGAAATATTCAAGTTCAAGATAAGAACTAACTTTTGATCGAGTAAAGCATAGTATTCAAGTGACAGACAGTCAGTTAATTGATCTGTGTGATCTGAATTAAAAAAAATTAACTACTCAACTTTCGTGTGTGTTATCTGTTGTGTACCTAAAACAATGAAAAACAACAGATTTTACAAACGATACTTCTAACACAACGACAATGAGATTCGCGGGGTTCCTTTTTTTTTTTTATCAACAATAAACCATATTCGGCAGCGATATCATTCTAAGAATTGAATCCGCTGGGTAGATGAGCGTGAGAATATACTTCATTGACCTCCAAATAGTGTTCCTAACCGAAAATAAATTTTTTTACGAATCAAATTTATTCAAGATATTTGAATATATTAATTATAATATACAATTTATTTCGTAACTATTTCGAATATTCGTAATTATTTTGGATATTCGTAATTATAATTATTACTTGTTACAATTACAAATATTTTGATAATATTTAATAAATTCCTTAATTTCAAGTGTGAGTGGTTTAACTGATTTAACATTAGAATATGAGCCAACTTATGGTTACGAAGAATATGCAGGATACTTATATTTTGTTTCGGGACATTGTTACAATTACAAATATTTAAATAATATTTAATTCCTTAATTTTCAAGTATGAGTGGTTTAACATTAGAATATGAGCCAACTTATGGTTATGAAGAAGAATATGCAGGATACTTGTATTTTGTTTCGAGAAATTGTTACAATTAAAAATATTTAATAAATAATATTTAATTCCTTAATTTTCAAGTATGAGTGGTTTAACATTAGAATATGAACCAACTTATGGTTATGAAGAATATGCAGGATATCTAACAACCAATTCTCATTTATTTTGCCATCACCACCGAATAATTCGTCAACCACTAGCCAAAAAAATATGATAAGAAATGTATGCCACGTGAGAGCTTCATTTAGTGACCAATGGAAGTGTAGGGATACGCCAAGTTCAAGTAAAAGTGTCTTCTCAAAGCCCAAATGGAATGTGGTTTTTTTCTTTTATAGAAATATAATTTGGTAGTTATACTGTTATTTACAAAAATTTATCAAAATTATGAAATTAATACAAGTGTTTGAAATGAACATAAGCCTTTAAATGATTACAATTATCTTAAATAATTAGGAATATTTGAATATTTGAAGCGATTACGAATATCTGAAACAGTTACTATTATAGATTACGAATATTCGAATAAATATTTGAAATTCGTAATTTTGGATTTACGAATATTTGAATAAGGATTTAGGATTACTGTAAGGAACCCTACTTCCAAATGACATACCAATTCCAAATGGGATTGTTGTAACAAACGTTACCATGAACATTCCTATAACTCTTATATTTCTTCGTCCATTCGGCGATTATCTGATACATTGGCTTTGGGGTTGTGATCTATTTCTATTTTTCAATAATCAAAATGTTGCTTCTTTAATAAGCCAGGAATAACGGACAGTAGAAATCGCGGATGAGCCGAGACATTTTATAGCCTAAGCATTTAAGATGCAACAATTCATTTTCATTTGTTTACACTTTCCAAGAAAAATTTCCAATTATCCGTTTGGTTTTCGCCTGCAATTTAGAATCGCAATTTAAGTTTCACCAGAAAATTTTCGTGAGCGAAATTAACTAATCTAAAATTGCCTAAACTATGGTCACCATCACTAATTATATTCAAGTAAAATTATAGGAAGTTCCATATTTTTGTTTAAAGTAAAACCGAAAATCTAATATAGCTTTCACGATATATGAAGATATCTTGTTAACTTGTTATTGGCTTCTACTGCCATCCCTCAACTCGTCTAGTTGATATCTTTAAATTAGAATGTTTTTAATGCTCCAAATTTACACATGAATAAAAATAATACCACTTACCTTCAGAACTCATTGGCAAAGGATTAAAAACAAATCATTCTTTTTTGAGAATTAATAAATAATATCAGATCGATATGGTTATTATTTACTTGTATTTGTTATAAGAATTATTATTATTAAATTATAAAATATACATATAATAAATTCTAAAAATGATCAGATGATTAGCTTTAATAAAATATTTATAATTTAATTAGCATTTATTATTATTATACATTGATGTTCACTTTTCAATAATGGTTAATTTTGATTTTACCTAATTGAAAAAAATAAAATAAATCTTGGTTTTTTTAAGATCCTGAATTTTAAAAATTATTTTATTCTTGCTAGAGTTATTACTTACTAGTGATGGAAATTTTTAATTCTACACTTAATAACACCAAGTTATTAATAGTTAATAACCATTTATTAACTGTTGCATTCTGAGCGAGAGTTATTAACCCAAAAGATCAATTTTTGCCAATCAATCACCAGCGTATAGAATTCAGTATGCGGAATGTGCTGTGCTAACCAAATTCGGCAGATTTGGAAATTTGGTTAGCACGCACATTCTCGCATACTGACTGAATTTTATACATTAACTTGTTTAGTATTTGAAAAAAAATTTTTTTGCTGCCCATTAGTATACTTAATAGCTTGGTCATTTTTCAAAATAATTTTTACGCCTATTACTATTACTAGTTATTACAACTTAAGGTCAAACCTATTTTTAGATTACTAATTAAAACTCTCGGAGATCCATGATCTACATATAATATTTTCATCATTGATTGGTGGACCACGAATTAACTAATGGTTAAAAAAACGGGCTTTATTTTTTCAAGGTATCTTTATTGATGGCCACGAGTATGATGGTGTGATAAATAACGTGAAATAAAGACCTGCATCAGGTTGGGTTCTTGTTTTAACCCGACCCGAATCCGAAAGTCGGGTGGGTGGGTTTGGTCATGACCCGAATCTATAATAATTGCTTGGCAAAAAGAATTTAATTTTATTGGCTATATATATATATGCACACTTTTTGTTATAATAATAATAATTTAACTAATATCAAATACACTATACATTAACCAAATATTATCAAAAATTACTATCTGGAAGATTATTATGTAAAGGTAAAAATTAGTGGAAAAAGTGATGTTTGTTTAAGATCTGCTGAAGTATTGATAAAGATGATAAATCTTGTGGTAAAGTTGTTTGTAAGAATTGTCAGCATTTATATAAATATAATTCAAAAGAAGGGACTTCTAGTTTAATAACGTCATGTTTGTAGCTCAAAGAAAAAACATCTTTTTAACGAAGAAAGTGATTTCTACAAATGTTAAAGAAGATACAACAAAAAAATAGTTAATTTACGTCCATTTGAAACAATTGTGGGTTCAAGGTTTCGGGAATCAGTACAAGGGTTTAAAAAAAGTTTAGTGCGGCTGGACTTACAGTTAATTAAATTTGCTCAAATTTAAATCCACAAACAATTGATGGTATTCTTGTATTATTATTAAGAAGCTCATTACAGCAAAATTTTTTCTTGTAATTTCTATTCGTTTAATAAAAAGGTACACAAGTCGGGTTCGGATTGAATTTTTTAATGGCAGGTCGGGTCCGGGTTGCGAATTATAAATTTATTCGGGTATTCATTCAATTATAGTGACCTCTAACGTGAAGAGTTCTTAAATATGATGGAAAAGTATATTTAATTAAATATTGACATATAATTATTACTGCGAATGTGCGATCTGAGCCTGTTCAATAAATTATATGGCTGATCCTTCTTTACTTTTGCCCTTCCTGATAACGTTTCTTGGTGGATGCCCTCTTGGCTGTTACTCCTTACTTACCAACTCAGGAATGCTTTACAATGAAAATAACTAAAAAATATATATACAAGGAAATATTCACAATTGTACTACTTGAGGCATCCCTACAAGCAAAATAGTAAAATTAAAAGGTGCCCCTGACCAATAATTAAAGGTTGGCCAAACCATTAATCATTCATTAGAAAGGATTATGAATCAATAAATCGCACTGGCTTTATTAATTAATTACAGTCAAAGCCTATTTTTTGTAAAGGTATTGAGATATTACTATTATTATTGTGTTATTACCAAGAAGATTATTTTACACATAAATAACATGTTACTTAAGCATTGTTTACATTTAACCAAATTTACTTAGGCAATGGCCTTGGAGGGTATTGATGGTTTTTGCCGAATTAATATTAATAATAATTTTATACATATAAATAAATAATTTTAATAAAATTTAAAAATTTTATTGGTTATTTGGCTGAGCGGTGCAGCCATAGGATCGGGTACACCATACATTAATATCAAATTTCCACTACACACGATAAAGAGATTTTATTAAAAAGACTAAAAGTTCACTATAGCGAACAAATTTTATTATAAAGAGAGTTGGGAACAAAAAAAAATCCACTATAGGCAAAACCCGATACACTATATAACTGTAGATAACAAAATAGGTTCATAATAATAATATTAATAATAATAATAATAATAAATATTTAATTAATTAATTAATATTCGACATATTCATTATACAAATTCTTTGTGATGAAGATCGATAAATTCCCGACAGCTTGAAGAATTGGTTTTAAAATCATATTTTCCCTGGACGTGCAATTTAGTTTGTAATGATAGTAATCACCAATCAAATTTATGAATTATATATATTTTAAATCATAATTTTATGGTTTTCTGAAACATTAATCAACTTGCATATATTTAATATATACGGTGTAAATAAATTCTGTAGGTTGAAAATCTCTTAATTAAAGCAATAAATCTAGTTGAAGGATTCTATGTTAAAATATGGGAACAATGGAAAGCAAAAGAAAGTTAACCGGAAAGGTTTTTCCCAGTAAATTATAATCAAAGCCCGTTACAATAGACCTCAGTTCCATATGCATTTTTTTATTTTTTTCCACTGTGGCGAAAGGCAGTTAACTATAAAAGCATTATGAAAAAAAAATCAGAAAAACAAAAAAAACCACTATTACTATAACGATATTTTGCTATAACGAACGAGCTTTTGACGATGATGATTTCTAATGCTGCTTTTGTTAAATTATAAAATTTTTTTGCCGGCTGGATTTATTAATATATCAAAACAGGAACCTATTTATAATATAAGAGATTCTTATTTTGTTTTGTTTTTGTTTTTTGGTTTTGGTAACACTTTGTACAAATTTAATTGCTATCAAAATAACCACATTAAGCATTACTATGACTTGTATGAGTTTTGGATAATTAATTGTTAATACACCGTTGTTCGAGTCATTGGTCTTGGTATGTACTATTTCTTTTTCCATTTTTGGTATGTTTTAATGATGAATTATGCGCCTTTATCCTGTTTTGTTTTATGTGTCACGTGATGTTGACAAAGTCCCAGTCCGAAAATGGCCTTTACTTTTTTTTTGACTTCACTGAAATTTTCATGGGTCACTGAGGCTTTGATGTTTTGTAGAAAACATACACCACATATATATTAATACATATTATTAAAGGAATTCCTGATTTTTGATTGAAATTTTTTTTTAAAATAATCGTAATTACGATTAAAAGTACGTGTGCGCTTATTATTAACGTATAAAAAAATAAAAACTAAAAGGTCCACAAAGTACTAATAAGTACTAATATTTGCCGATAATATGATTATTCATTAAATATTTTTTCGATTTATCTTATGATCTGATTGATTGTATATGACTTCCGGCAAGACGTCTAAACGTTACTATTATTAGAATCCGGGTCAAGCGATTTACACATAATAGTCGTTCATCTATCGCGGCACGTCGAAGATTCAAACCAACAGTTTTTTTTACAAGAACCGATGATGTTTTGTTGGGAAAATTATCCAGTGTGGATAATGTTGGTGAGAGTAAAAATAAGAAATGGTCATTGTGCCGACGACAATACGTAAACTCGACATAGTTAAAGGTAAAAATTTTTGCATTAAATTTTTATTATTATTAATTTTTGTTTTGTATGTTTAGTTTTTTTATTTTATTTATTCATTTTGTTTTTTTCTTTTTGAAAAAAAAAATTTTTATCATCAAGTACAAAAATTGGTTTTTTTTCCCTCGAAAGAAAAACATCCGCTTTTTCTTTCTTTCTAATCTTATTATACAATAATAATAACAATAATAACAATTATTATTAAATAAATATATATATTGTTGTATTATATTTTTTATAATCCTAACAATAAACTAAAGTTTTCGTCTAATTATTCATTAAATTATTTATTCATTAAATTAAAGTATTATTATTAATAAAAATTAAAACCAATTGTTAATCAATTAATCAATCAATCAACTTTGATGTCTTTTTGAATCAATGCCATTATCATCTGATATTGTTATAGGCAATAAATTTTCGTCGCCACGTACTTTTCTTTCATTTCTTTCTACATCTTTTTTTGCTTGATTATACATGTATAAACCCCAAAATGTTAAAGTTATTCCTATGCCTTGTATAAGAGAAGTCTTTTGACCAAACCATACAATGCTTGCAGTTATTACAAATATTCTTTTAACCAAAGATGCAATTGAATAAGTTACAGGTGAGGTTGTTGATAAGATTGACAAAGCCAAAATATTTTGAGCAAAATGAGATGAACCATTAAGCCAAAAATAAAAGATTATTATCCAACCATTTGATGGTAATGATGATGACGGTGACGAGGAGGAAAGAGACGGCTCCGACCACCAATAATTAAACATTAAAGTTGAACCTTCGTAATATAACCACATAGGATACATCAATACGAAAGCTAGTAAACTCGAATAAAATGATACGTTTAATTCATCTAATTTGTGACTTTTTAAGCCAACTAAATTATTATTGAAAAGAATTTTTTTGGAAAAAATATTTTGAGCTACGAATATAACTGTTGAGCCTAATGCAAAAAGAAACCCGATAAAATTAGAAGTTGTAGAAGAGGAACAGGCAAGCATCACTCCAATTGTAAGAGGTAATAATGATATATAAACTTTTGATGAGTAATTAACTTTGAAACCAAACTTATAAAAGAACACTGTAAATAAAGGTGAAAGCGCCTTTAAAAATTGACGGTTGGATGATGTAAATGTATAAAATAAAATTTTAGATTTATTAATCTTTAAAAAAAAAAAAAATAAACATAAATATAATGAAATATAATGATAAAGTACCTTTATAGTATGTACAAAGCTAACAGGAACTTTACTTGTGGCATAACTTGAAAATACATGTCCGGTTATTGAGAATAAGCTTAAAGGTAAAGTCTTGTTTAGTATTTGACGACTTGGATATTCTAATTTAGTGAATCCAAGACCATTTCCAAATAAATAACAATAAAATGCAACGAATCCAAACTGTACCCAGGTCAGTGTCAAAGGATAATTGAATTGATTGAGAATTTGCTTTCCGATATTGTTGGTTATTGCTGATGATGCATACCATGATAAACATAATACGATAAATTTTATGATTTCTAAATTTACATAACTTGAAATGAATTTAATTAAATTATTTATAATGTAATCTAAACCATATCTAACATTTATACTAGTTCCTAATTCATATTTTTGATGTGGTAAACTAACCGGTGTAGGTGAATTATTATTATTATTATTATTATTATTATTATTATTATCATTGATATTATCATTGATTGGTTTAAGGTTATTTAAATTTATATTATAAAACATCGGGTCAACGACATTGATATTGGAATTAGCATTAATTTGCATTGGACTTATTGTTAATGGCGACGATAGTGAAGAGATTGATGAGGAATCTTGTATTGAGAAAGATCTTTTTCTAGTTGGAACTTGTTTTGATGGATAAGCAGGTATTACATATTCAGCCTCTACTCTTGTACTACTACTATTATTGTTTAAATTATTTGTAGCTCCATTTGCAAGTATTGAAGAACTCATCTTCGTTATATTTATGTTGTTGTTATGATTATTAATAAGGGTAATAGTATTACTGTTGTTACCGTTATTAATTTCATTTGTGGTAATTGAATCAAATAGTTTGTAAGAGTTTGAATTTGTGGAGCGTCTTTTAGAATGTTTACGTTTTGGTGAATAAATTGGTGTAGTGGTAGAACTTTCAATCATTCCAGGGTCATAAGCTGTAGTAGCTCCAGGTAAAAATTCTTCAGGTGGATTAGGCGGCATAATTAATAATTTTTTATTTTATTATTGTTGTTTGTTGTTGTTTAATTAAAAATATTTAAATAAATTTTTTATTAAAAAAAAAAAAATTTCCAAAAAATTCCAAAAATTTATTTATTATATATATATAGAATTTTTTTCTGTAAAGACTAACCACAAAATTGTATTTATTATTTATATAATATGTTTTTGTTATTTAAAGAAAAAATATATTATTTGAAAGAAAAAAATTTTTATATGTATATGTATAAAAGGGATTTATTTATTTATTGTATAGTTTAGTATATTATAAATAAATAAATATATAAATAAACGTTTTATGGTCTAATAATAGGCTGATCCCAAAAAATTTTGCAACGCTTTTGTTGGTTTTTTTTTAAAATGGAAATTTTAAAAAATAAAAAACAACTAGCCTCTCTCACTTTATCAAAAATGAAAATTACAATGATATCCATTTATTCAACAACATTTTTTTATAAATACGACAACGAATACTTATATAAGTTTATTATACAAAACAAGGTTTCTTACAAACTTTAAAAGAATAAAAATGACATCTTATCATTTCATCTGTCGATAAAAGATAACAATCATTATTGTAGTGGTTGCGGTTGTGGTGGCATTAAAATAAATGAACGAACGAACGAATATTGATTTTGTAGATAGGGAAATTTTGAATTCAAAATTTAAAATAAATAATTTATTTTGTGTGTTACCTAAAACTACCCTAGGGTTTGAAAAATAGACATTGAATTTTTTGGAAATTCTCAATTGGTTATAATAGAAAATAAGGAAAAAAAGGAAGAAGGAGGAAGATTTAAAAATAAATTACGTAAACCAATAATAACTTGACAAGTAAGATAAGGGCCGTGTCACTCACTTTCTTTAATTGCGATTATACAATACTTTGGAAAAACATTCATTGTTATAAATAGGCAATAATGTCATGGTGATGCATACAATCTTCACGATGAGGCCTACGATCTCATAATGATATAATCGAAGATTCATTTATTTGGATGCATATTGATTTACGCGTGTTGCCAAATTCAAAAAATATTTATCACCATTATTTTTTTTTAATGTGCGAAATAAATTATATTATTATTATTATTATTATTATTATTAAAATTAATTAATTAATAAAAAAAAAAAAAAATAATAATAATTGTTGATTAAATTCACAAAAAATATTAATTCTTCTATTATTATTAATATTTTTTTTTGCTTATGGATTAATTATATAGTAGATAGATAGATGATTTAATAAATTAATAAAATATAAAAAATATGTATGTATGTATAAAAATAGTTGAATAATTAAATATAAAAAATAAAAATAAACAAAAAATAAAATAAGAACATCTCCTTTTTCAAATATTCTTCTCTTATAATATATACTATGAAGAGGGTTGGAATATAAAAAAAATTTTTTTGTTTTTTTTTTTGGTTTTTAAGTAATGATAGTAGTTGATAGTTGGAATTGAAGATGTTATTATTCTTTTTTTATTTTGGTGTGAGAATAGTGTGTATGAAGGAGCGTTGGTGTTAGTGTTAATGTTGGTGTTAGTAGAAGTGATAGCGAGAGCGTGTGTGTGTGTGCGTGTGCGTGTGTGTGTTAGTGAGTGATAGAATGAATGTGCGCGAGTAGATTTTTTTGTTTTTTGTGAGACCCGAAAACCGGTCGGGTAAATATTATATAAATTATATTTTTTCTTTCTCTCTCAATAACGTTTCATTTTCCAATTGGATTAGGAACCTGATATTTATTAATAATATATAATGTAGATGTAGATATAGATAAAAAAGAAATCTAAAGTTAACATTGTAGACTAAAATTTAAAAAAAATAGTATATTATATATATATATACCAAAAAAAAATTATATATATATTCCTATCCCTCCTCCATCACACACATATAAGACATAAATTTGTTATTTGAGAAAGAAGATAATAATTATAATAATAATAATTATTATTATCATTATTTTTTTTTTTTGAAATAACCAATAATATACAAAGAAATTAAAAAAAAAAAAATTTTTTTTTCAAGAAATCATTATAATAAAAAAATTTTTTTTTTTTGTTTATTTTTATATATATATATATAATTTTTTTTGGATAATTTTTTAGATTTCTGATAAATCCTCCAAAAGTTTCTTCTTTTGTTCCTTTGTAATCATCTTACTCGCCTTTCTGGCCATCAATCTTTCAGTTCGATACTGTTCATAAAAGACTTCCAGGGTGATATCCTTGAACAATTTACGATGACTCGACAATAAGACATTCCTTAATAGGACAAAATCGCAATGGCTTGGATTCAGACAATCGATTATACCCCATGCATACTGCCTACCACGAATCTTCTCGCCTGTTGACGGATCTATAATATCGGCATCTTCTGGTGCAATCAAGGAAAATGGAATCTGTGATTGCGCATTGACTATCACCTCGGCAATATCTGGTTCTAATTCTTCTTCGTCAACCGGAAAATCAAAAACAGGGATTTGATGTGTTTTAAGATCTCTATTGATAGCTTTTTTAAGATTACGTAGTTGCGTTGTTGTAAGTAGATCTGCTTTGGCAACTACCGGTATCACATTAACTCGAGCTGTTAAACGTTTTAAAATTCTAATATCTTTATCTGTTAGTCCATTATTTGCATTATCTATAAAATAAATACATGCATGTATTTGACTGTCTTGTGCTTTTGGATTACGTTTAACTTTAGTTTCCTATTAATAAATAATATAGATAATATGTATCTAGGTTGATTAGTGAATGAATGCGTGCTGATTTACTTGATAAATAATACCTTGACTTAATGAATAAATACCAAAGTGATTACTACTATAATCACTAATTATCATCAATCGATCAAAATTATGATTAGTTACCTCGGCTAATGTTTGATCGAATTGAGCTTCGATATATCGTAATGCTTCTGTTACTTGTACATCAAGTCTAAGTTCATTGTCCCTTACAAATCCAGGCGAATCGACCAGCGTTAAAGAAATTTTTTCTCCTTCTTCTTCAATATCTAATGTGAAAGAATATAATTCTTTTGTACGCGCCTCTTCTGCATCCTGCACAGTTTCGGCTCTTTGAAATAAGGAGGCTGGTAATTCAACTTCTTCTTTGGAATTTTTACGTATGTAAAGTGTATCATAAAGCATGCGAATGAAAGAGGTTTTCCCAAGTGATCTAAACCCCACTACCATTAAATTAAGTTGTGAGATTGCGTGCTTACGACGACGAGAACGTGTACTTAATTTACTTGACATTATTATATTCTTTTGTTATATAAGTTTGCGAGCGTGCGTGCGTGTGTGTGTATGTGTAGTATATTTTATTATTTATAAATGAAAACTTTTTTGAGGGGTTGTTTGATGTTTGAATATTGGGTAAAAAAGGCTAGCTTGTTGATTATTAAATGGTTTTTTTTTTCAAAAAAAAAAAAATATTTAAACTTGATGTTAAATAATTTTTTAAAAAAACGTTACAAATAAACAAGTAGGAGAAATTCTTTTTATTAAAAAAAGATAAAAATTAAAAGGAAAGGCAAATTAAAATTAATAATAAAAATTAATGATAATAAAATACTTTTATAGAATACTTTTTTAAAGAATCCCTGTTTATAGATTTTACTCTATTCCTTCACACACTCTCTAATGTAATAAAGAACTTTTTTTTAAAAAAGAAAAAAGTTTCAAGAGACAAATAAATAAATAAATACAAAAAAATTTAATTTAATTTGTATTTTTTTTAATATTAATGATTTATAAATAAATAATATAAATAATGTGTGTATATATTCTTGTGTATATATACTCTTTACTTGTTGGTTCTTTTTTTTTATTTTTTTAAAAAAAAGGTAGAATATATATATTCGTTGAACGAGATAATAAATATTGTACAACACATGCATCATTGCACACATTGCACAGTTTCAAAGAAAGAAATGAAGATTATCACCAAATACGCTGTATTTATTGGATGCTGGTGACGATCGTTTCTATCTTAAGACAATACAAGGACAAATAAAAATTTTAATTTAAATTTTGCGAAATTTTACAATTTTATTATTATTAATATCACCAAGTATTGATTGATATTATTAATTCGAAGAAGAAAATCAATCAACGAATGCATCTCAATCAATTAATTAATTTAGCTCTCTCAATTTGATCAATAAAATAAACAAAATTTAAATTGATTGATGTAAATAAAATATATATATAAAATAGAAATAAAATAAATGATATTAAATATGACTCAATTCTACCGCAAAACTTACAGAAAGCTGTATGACAAATTGTTTTTATAATCAGTAAATTTCCGTTTTCATAAGAAAAAAATTATCAATTTAATTCATTAACATTCACAATCTTTATAATAAATACCTTTGCGAATTCTAACATATGTTCGAAATTGAGATATTCGACGAGGTCACCCGTAGAGTGAATATGCGGATTGGTGTCTTCAAATTCTCCTTCAATCGCAAAAGCAGATGGATACCCAGCCTAAAATAAATGTTATTTATATTAATTCTTTTTCAAATAATAGTGATAACAATAACAGTAGTGGTAGTGACGTTGGTAGACATACTTTTAACCAGGATGCGTGATCAGAGCAAGCATAACTATATCAAAAAAAAAAAAGAGTTTATATATAATATTAATTATAATTTTGAATTGTCACCAAAGAATTCAAAAAAAAAAAAATAAAAATAAAAATAAATAAACAAATATTAAATTTACCCGCATTTGGTTTTAACCATAGGAATTTTGGCATAGGCTTCTATAAGTTTGCCGACGAAATTGGTCAAATCAAGATCGACATGATCAAACACTATTCCAAAAGCTTCGGGATTCCTTCCTACATATCCCGTCATGTCATTCTTTTAAAACAAAACATTACAATTGATTAATGATTTTTTGTTAATAATTAATTATTTAAAGAAATTCTCTCGTTGCATACTTGTAACATTGCGATAACATTTCTTTTGTCACTTTCATATTTTAGTGCAACATCTTGTGATCCTAAAAGACCACCTTCTTCAGCGGAGTACCAGTGAAATTCAACTGGCAAAGCTGGACTGAAGTCGCTTGCCACCAGCGACCTAAATGCTTCTAAAATTGTCACTGTACCACTTCCATCATCGTCGGCACCAGGCGCCCTACCAAATGATGGCCACCACATATTAACAGAGTCTTGATGAGCTCCAACGATAACTACTTCATTGGAACTATCGACATTGTAACCTTCAAATCTGGCAATAATCGAATTTTGCGGCCACTTATGTCCAAACTTTACAACTGTAATATTCGTTTTACTGTCGGGATTTGCATTTTTTATGATGTTGGATATTTGATCAAATAGCCAGTCAGAAGATTGAACTCCATATTGTGATCGGTAATACCTAGTTTGAAAACTTGTGAATTTTTTAAGATTTTTTTTCATATAAGTTGTGGTTAGGTTGCCAATTATTGGTTCCACTTCATCCCGAAACGAAGGACTTGGAGGATAGGCTAAAAATCAAAACATTTAATTAATTAATTGAATGAATAATATTAATAAAATAACAAGTAACAATAATAAAAAAATTAATTATTAATATATTAATGTTACAACTAATTAACTAATATAATTAATATTATTAATTTACCATGTTTTTTGAATGTCTTAATAGTAGACCCGAGTTGTGTATAATCTGTTATATCCATAAACTTTATCCCCTTTCTTATGAGGTTTAATATCATAGATTCATCCAGCCAGTCTGCTGGATAATCATCACTCGTCTGAATAAGCCTATAACCAACATTCTGCCGAGTCACACACTCCTGATAATTTGTATCTAATAAGCGAAGCGGAGATCCGTTTATCAAAGTAAAGAATAAGAACGCACAGATAATACACTTTGATATTAAATACAAATTTCTTTTAAATAAAATAGACATTTTCTTTATTTTTTAAAATTATTATTTTTAAGTTTTTTAAGGATGATGACGGATGGCGTATAAATAAATATGCGCGTGCAGTATGCCCATTTAATAAATAAAGAATGATAATCTAATAATCTAATCAAAATTTAAGATTATCACATTTATTATTATTATTATTATCACATTTTATTTTTAACAACGTAATCTTGTTGTGACATTTATTAATTTAAAATTGATTAAAAATATGCAATACATATAAAATTTTTAAATTATTTACAATGCACAACTCCCCCGTTTTACCATAGAATGAATGGTATTCGTTTGAAGCGAATTATCACATTTTATTTCCCCCGGGCAATTTTGTAAAACTTTACACAGTATCTAACACGTGATTTATCAGATAGTAGAAAGGAACCATTGATTAGGACCTGATAAAGCCATGTAACAGGGCAAATTTTGGTCATTTCTATCCTATTTTTCACTGACACAGGATATATAAAGTATAAGATTAAAAATAATCTCATTTTTTACATAACATTAGTTATAGATGATGGGAGCCATTTATTTTGACAAATTTTCATGCTCATAGCTTTTAAAGTGGACAAAAATTAAATTCTTTAGCATAGAGTGTATATAATTGTTTGGGTCCTGCTGCAACAGTACAATGTGACAGATCTTGAAATCTTGAATAAAATCTGACATATACAGTATGTTTCAAAAAAATGGTATGCAAGGTATTGTTTTAATGAAAAGTAGCCAAAATTATATAATAAAAATTTATACCAGAGAGTTGGGAGATCTTAGATTATAACATAGAAAACTTTTGAAGCATATTGTTATGTAGGCTTTAGAGCAATTATTAAAGAAATTTACACATTTGAATGGTTTTTCAAATAATCAAATTTCTTTATTTTCAATTACAAAAATTCTAGAAAATCTGAAAGTATGCATAATCTCCAGAACTTTGGCTACAACTGGTATAAATTTTTGTATAATTCTTATGTATATGCTTGTATCAGAGCTATCATTAAAAACATTCCATGTTAAAATTTCAGAGACAAAAAATTAGAAAAAAAATATATGAAATAGCTTTACAGAAAATTGGCAATAGCATTTCATGTTTATTTTTTATTATTTAATAAAGTAATTGATAAAGCTTTCAAATGAATCTAATTTTATTCAACTATATTGTGTAATTGTTGAGATATGTGATATTTTTGTGACATATTTTTTTTTGAAACAAATCAGACAAAGTGAACATTTTTGTATTATATACAAGAATTTCAGAAATCAAAATTTAGAAAATTCAGCAGTGGGTACAATGTTACACTAGCTGCATGCACACATCTTTTTTTAGAAAATTTTAATTATTAATATTATATTGTTTAATATGGGGCATGCTACAACAAAACCAGACAAAGTGAACATGGTATTCAGGGTAAAAAATACAATATAATTTTCCCGGACTTTCCGGAAAACTTTAGAGAATTCCAATAAAATTTTTGTTCTTCCGGTAATTTAACCGGTCACACTTACCACAAAAAAAAATTTATTCATGACTTTAAATCAA